GGCCTAACTTTACTTGTATAAGAGGATTAAAAAGTGGGTATAGTTGTGTGACATTTTGCCTTGGATTGGAACTCATTGCATATGTGCTTCCCACTGCCCCCCTTGGATATACGGACATTTGTTACCAGTTACTATGAACTTAGTCCTGCCTATGGATGGTGTAGGTAGGACAGTGTCTGAAGGTCACAGGGCATCCTACCTGGGTTCTAATGTCCTCCTACCACAAACTTGCTAACTCACCCCCAGCAAATCTCTTGTCCTAATTTGAGCCTTAATTTTCTTACTTGTAGTATGAAGCAGTTGGAACTAGTAGTTTTAAACTTTTTGAACTTTCTCTTTAGGGGCTGTCCTTGTTTACAGCATTTTGTGTTTAACTTCAGTGCATTCACAGGTCCCCTCAGCTTGTCCTTAGTAATCTTCCTCAGGTAAATTATAATCTTTGGCCTAGAGCAGGTATGCCTCATGGGCTTTTTGTTTTTGAATGGCTTGCAGAGCAAAGAATGTTTTTTACATTTATAGGTTGTTGAAATATATCTTCTTGGGCCTTTACAGAAAATTGGTGAATCCCTGGCTGAGATTATTGCTGAGATTCCTCTTAATAGTGATGGCTTCATGATTCTATAGTCCTGTCTGGTGGATAATTGCTAGTACTTTTCTTTTTAAACCAATATTTTTTTTTCTGTTAAGATTTTTGGGTTTCAGAATTTTTATGGTTGATTTAAATGGTTGCTTTGGTTTTAAGATGTCTTTCTTTTGGTCACACATTAGGTAATAATTCTCATAGGAAATAAAGCAGATTTGGAGGCACAGAGGGATGTTACATATGAAGAAGCTAAACAGTTTGCTGAAGAAAATGGTGGGTTTCTTTTAAGACTTTTAATGGCTTTTATTGGGGGGTGGGGGTCACACTTGGGAGAATTTCTAAGGATTTTGGATCCTGCAGATTATTTGACAATTATTTTTTAATGCAAACTGCTCAAATTTCAAGGATGAGAAATAGCAAAATGTGTTTGAGAATTAATTGGGCGGAGAGTAGTACACTTATTCCCTCCATCTCACACTCATATTCTTTCATAAAATACTGAAAGCTGATGGGAAACTCATCCAGATGTTGCCTAAGAGAATGAGGTAATTTGAAGTGTCCTAATCATAGTCTGAATTTTATTTTTAGGCTTATTATTTCTTGAAGCAAGTGCAAAAACGTAAGTATGCCTAAAATTGTATCATTTTAAATTACATACAAATTTCTCAAAATAGAATCATATTTATGAAACAAAAATATATACACATACACACAATTGACCCTTGAACAATATGTATATGAACTGGGTGGGTCCAGTGATCAAGGATTTTTTTTTTGAGTTGATCTGCATAGTTCAGTTGACTTCTACAGTTGAAACCCATCTTGTTCAAGGGTCAACTCCATCACTGGGAATTCGAATGCTCAGAGCATATTTTTGACCGAGAGGAAGGTCAGTACCTTTAAATACTGTGTTGTCCAACAGTCACCTACATCTAAAATATATAATATATAAATGCATAAATAATATTTACGGCTATCGGAATAGTAAGCAATTCTTTGCTTCCTATGTGACATTTCAAAATAACACTTGTTCAAGGGTCAACTCCATCACTGGGAATTCGAATTGTTGTCCAAGAGTCACCTACATCTAAAATATATAATATATAAATGCATAAATAATATTTACGGCTAGCGGAATAGTAAGCAATTCTTTGCTTCCTATGTGACATTTCAAAATAACACTTTTTGTTACTTTACCTAAAAGATTATACTTTGATTATGCCCATTGGTAATTGATGTTAATGAAATTGTGTGAACATTTAAAAAACGTTTGACTTTCACAACTGAGGTTGAGTTTGGCATCTTGGACTCAAGCTTGGTCAACCTGTTTAATATTTCTGACCATGGTAAAGAGCAGAAATACTCAATGTCGAAGATTTAAATTAGAAGCATAGGTAACATTTCTACTGGCCATCCCATGTCCATTACCAAACCCCGGGACTTTCATCATAGTTCTTCATTTATTAAGGCAAAAATTCCTGCACTGGTAAGAAGCTAGCTCTCTTTTGTTCGTCTGTACTGTTTGTCCTAAGAGAATTGAACGGAAGCATGAACGTGTTACCATCATTTGATAAAAAGTGTAGTTCATACTCAGCTAATCAGACTCTACAAATCCTGGAATCATGTTTGCGTGTTTGGAGATATCATTTCTGTTTGGAATACACTCAATTATTACAGAAATGGCCTATTGTAATGGTCATATATTAACATACTAGCATTTAAACAACCTGGACACATACAGTTATTCAAATAGGGTTTGTACAAACTACTATTTATATGCTTTCCACAGAAAATATTTTCCCATGTTGTTCTCTTAGCTCAGTCTTCTGGTAATCTCTTTATTAGATGACAATGGCTAAGTTGAAGACATCATGCAGTTGACTAAAAGGTTAGCAAAAGGTCAGTGTATAATGTCTTATCTTTTGTAGAAAACTATGGTTCTCGAATAAAGCTGTCAATTGCCTCTTAGGGGAGAGAATGTAGAAGATGCTTTCCTTGAGGCTGCCAAGAAAATCTATCAGAACATTCAGGATGGAAGCTTGGATCTGAATGCTGCCGAGTCCGGTGTACAGCACAAACCTTCAGCCCCTCAGGGAGGCCGGCTAACCAGTGAACCCCAACCCCAGAGAGAAGGCTGTGGCTGCTAGTGACCTCTTTGCTGTGGCTCTCATTTGACCTTTCACCTCTGTCTGTTGGAAGCAGTACTTTTTACTGCCTCATTGTCTTCTGTACATCTTACTGGATTTAATTAAAAAAGAAAAAAAACAACTCTGTTGTAAAAACAGTTTAACACAATACTAAACTGCTAAACAACTAGATGTAATCAGGTTATCAAAGGCAAGTAGAGTAATCTCTCCTGCATGGTAAATCTAGACTTTTTTTTCCCCCTTGATTGTCCTCGTGATAGGTTATGTCACCAATACGTGATTTAAACTGAGCACTGATGCTGGACTTCATGATTTTTACCCTTCCCTCTTTTTGATAAGGCTTTTGTCTCACTGTACGGTTTAATTTGATATCTTAAGCCTTTCTCCCCATCTTTAACTGTTCAAAGTATGACTGTTGTAACCAAGAAGTTTTATTGCTGTGAAATGGCTTCCAATGATAGAGAAGGGGTTCTGTAACTGCTTTTGTTTTATTTTTGATGGATCAACTCCCGGTTGTGTGGGTGGCATTTTTTTGAGGAGGTTTGCTTCTGTCTTAGCCTTGCACAGGGAAAATACCCATTTATTTTTTCTCTTGTGCTTAATTAATAACTTTATCTTTTTTTACATCATTTTATCCTTTTCTCTTTAGCAGAAAGTAAATATGTATAAAATTTGAAGGAACTGAACTAACAGTACATTCTGTGTATATTATTTTAATTAAGAAAATAAATTGATTACTGGCATTGGAACAGTATAAAATACCAGTTTGTACAGTATGACCTATATGTGACCATGTTACTCCCTTCCATTTCACACAAGGAAGTAGACTCAACTGCAGTTCACAAGTAATACTGGCTCTACCCTCTGGTGCTGGCAGCGTTTGGGGACATTATGCTGGAAAGAGCTCCTTAGCGTGAGAGGATTAACACTAGCAGATTCTGTTCCATCTTTGCACTGTGGCTTACCTGCTGATTTTCTTAACTGTTCTTGTGCAATCGACAATGTGCTAACCTGCTTTTCTCTTTCTGTAAACATTTTGCATTACAGGCTGCATTTCTTGCCTTACTGTATAGAAAAAGAAAAAAGGCTGGGTTTATTATTGCACATTTTAAGCTTTTATACCTTTATCTTCTTGGAATGGTGAGATTCTGAACTGGACAGCCAGGACTATACAGGTCTGCTGTTAAGGGATTTTAAATTGTGCATTTTTAACACTACAGTGAAATTATTTAAGATATCCCTTGTGTTTTTAGTGTGAGGCACTATTTTTTGTCATGTTGGCATAAATTGTTTTGTAAAAGGGAAAGTAACAGTGTTTCAGTGTTTGTGCTGATACAAATTAAGTTATTACTTTGCACGAGTTGGTTTGGCCACTGAAAGAATACAGTATTGCAAGGGAAATAGTCTTATCTCTTTAGACAACAAACTTATGTTTTACCAAGTTCTTTACTTCTACTTCTGTTGGTTGATTTCTGAGTTTGTGGTTCAGGCTGGGAATTCAGAAGTTACTGAAGTGTAGGAGAGGTAAACCTCCATATATTATATAAAATGCACTCGGTTCAACTGCTGTGTTTAAAATACACATTTTAAATCCCTCTTTACAGACACTAAAGTTTAAAAAGACACCTTTCTGGGTTATAAACATGTGGTAGTACCAGAGTATTGTAGTCAATGTTAAAGCCAAAACTGGAATGTGCAGAAAATAGGATTTGGTTAATTTGTGGACTCATTTTTATTTTTGTCTTGAACTTTTTTATAAAGAAGATTCCTGGAGTAGATTGGTATATTCTGTTGAAGACTTACAGTGATCCATTTTGCTCACACCGTTGTATCACAAGGGACCCAGGGACCATGACCTGCTGGTGTGTGTATATATTTACAAAGACAAAACAAACAAACCACCCACTGGGATATAAGGTAACAATCACAAACTAAAGACTGCAGCTTGTTTAGGTGCAATACCCTGATTTCCAAAGTTAGTTACAGTCGGTCTTATTGTTTTTGTGACAGGATTTATTCAGACTGCTGTACTCTTCATTTGATGTAACAAAATGCTATTAATCTAAATATTTGTAAATAAAGTACCTGTATCTAGATTAAAATTGTTTGTATTATTTTCTGAAATGTAATAGGATTTTATGTATTCTTCAGTTAAAAAATTATTTAGCATCAGTTTTCAGTTTTTATTGCAGAATTGTCCTTACATGTTGATAGAGAAGTCTACGTACATAGCGTATAAATCCACATCACTTGGTAACAGGTTTCTAGCCTTGTGTTCCTATCATACTTGCAGTGTTTTCAGCTAGCCTTTTTCAGTGTGGGTTCAGCATACCTGGTGCCTGATGTTCTCCCTTGACTGTATTTGGGGCCAAATTCTGATCTTTGCATGTGTAATCCCCTGTAATAAACTTGGGTGCTCAAAAATAGAGGAGCAAATTGTCATTGTAGCATTCATGTGCCCAACACTGGGCAAGTGCACTTTGGGGAGACTGTGAAATTCTTTTAATTTTTAATCCATGAGAACATATTACTTGTGTGGTCACATGCTTCTCTGGGTTACTCATAGCCCTTGTACCTATTAAGAGAGGCCCTCCTGACTAATAGGTGCTTAGTACTTTTTATGCATTAGACATTCCATAATGTTCGAGTATTTTCCATGGATAATAAAATGCTTGATTTGGGGGGGGTTGATGATGTTCACATAATATTAGAGGTAGTAAAGTTTCTTTGGAAAAAGGTCTTTTGAACCAGGTATTTGGCTTCATACACATTACCTCACCTCTTTCATTCCAGAAGACTTAAAAGTTTTAAGAACCTTTCTCCATCCCCCCCATCTGTTGTTTTAAGTATGATTTTTTTGCGTGTGAGGTTGACTTCATTACCCTTAAACAGAACACCTAATGATCACCTTCCACTCCTGTTTATTTGGGAATATACAGTGTTCATGTGGCAGTTTAGAAAGATGTTTTACCTTCACATTGAGCACTTGGATAGAACAAGAAAATATGTCCCTGAAGGATTTCAGTAACTGAAGAGGCCAGGATTTTACAAGCATTTTTCTAAAGACTTGTGAAAATGAAACAGAATAATGTAAATACAAAAATTCTACCAAATTTTTGTTTTGGAATTAGATGCCTTCTAGAATTTACTCTGTACTAGTAAATTTTGTATTACTTTCATTGTCTTGTAACTATATCCCATATCTTAATGGGACAGTTGTAGCCAAACAACTCTGTAGGAATATAGCCTCAGTAAGTGGTAAGGGACTGCTACACTGCTGTTCTGTATTGTGGTTAACATAGCACACTATGCATTATGGGTCAGGCTGCCTGGGGGCCTAGAAAAGTCCTTGGAACAGTTTAAAGCCTGTCTGTTCCATGTAATCTCATACTTCACCTATCCCATGGGAGTAATTCTGTTGCCACACATTTAATTTTGACAGTAGTTGCTACTCTTGTGTTTAGAAAAATAATATATTTACAGACCAGGAGTTAAGCCATTAATTACAGGAATGTAAAATTGTAAAAGTCTAAACATAATTTGAACTTACCATTGGATCAGATTCTCTCAAGTACAAAATTCTTTTTCCATCAAATAGTTTTGATTGAGGAAAGCACCTGAAATGTAATAGTTTTATAATAGATATTTCCTAAGATGAAATATATTGATAGGTATAACATACTTCAACCTCCAGCCAAAAGATGGAAAACCATTTGAAAGATTGTCATTTCTTAGAATTATGGTAATAATATGATGGCTTTACTGTAGATCTCTGAAATGTAAAGTCAGAAGGCAGCCTCAAATTTATTTTACCTTTTATTCATACGAAAATAGATTTTAAGCAAATCCAAAAATAACTTGACACTTAAAAATGAAGAGGGGCCTACGTATGTATATTTTTTCTTTGTAACTACAGAGTTTAACAGTTTATAGATTCAAATTTGCAGTTACATTCATCATTGGTTTTATAAAAACATTTCAAAGATTTAAAAAAATGCTCAGCCATCTAGTACCCTGGTTTAAATTGTATATAGCTATTCCCATATGTACAAATGATTTACAAAAAAACCCTGGCCTTAATGGTCCAAGTGAGATAAACCACAGTGGAGTTTCAGCATCTGAAATCACTGGATCTTGATGAACCAAATGGCATCCCAACTATGAAGTTCATGAGGTAGTGGAGAAGGTCTTTCCTCATATTTATGTAAGACAGTATTCCTCATCTGGCTGAACCATTTTTTTCTCTCTATAGTAAGACAAAGAAAAAAAGGATAAATTCTTCCAACAGTAAAAACAGGTCTTCACTTAACAGAACTAGCATGACAGCAATAGGTAAAAAATGTATTTGAGTACCTCTTTGGGAAAGTGTTTTAAGATGAACCACTATAAAATTATCTGAGAAAAAAGTTAAAAGATACTTTTCCTAAGACGATGATAAACTACAGTTCAAGATCTTCCAACTGAAAGTGCTGGTTAAGAACTATTTGCAACAGGTACCCTGTGAGCAGAAAGCTGGGAATGGCATCAGTGTCGGTAACTGTTTCCTGATTTTGACGGACCTTGTAGAACTTGGTGGAAGGAGCTCTGAAAAGGTAGATAAGGTATTAGGCTCAGAAGCTAGCCCCCTAACTCCAGTGTAGTAGAGGCTTTTGTCTCAGAGACCTGGATTACTACCCCAGATTCCAAAATAATGGTAACAATCTTAGCCCTATCCATTGAGCCTCTAACCCTCATCTGTTGCTCTCGTGAATTTAGAGCACCAGAACTCTTCTGGCTGCCACGGCCTTCTAATCATCGACCCTGGCTCCCAAACCCTTATACAATAAATACATCTCCCACTGCTGGAGGCAGGTGGTCTCATCTCCAAAGCCACCTGACACTCTCTTCCTTAAGGCACACCCTGAGACCCACGATGGTTTGGGTCTGTACCTGACTTAGGTCCTACCATAGAAGGTTGCAAAGTACTCATACTTAAATCTTGGCTCTGCTGCTGATCAGCTTGTGCCTATTAAGGAGGCAGTTGTCCTTGAATGTTCCTTGTGGCTCAACCACTCAGTATACTGCTCTGGTAAAGACAGGTTAGCACCTAAGTCCTGGTTTTGTCTTCTGTGAGGCTGACATCATTTTTCATTTTACACAATTTCCTTATCTGTCTAAAGAGATAATCCTACATCCCAGGATGTAAAGACTAAGAGAAAACATATGTAAAGGGTTTGGTACACAGTAGGCACTCAAAATGGTAGCTATTACCTGTCTCTGATGGTAGTACTGTGTTACTATTTACCAACCCATGAGTGTACTTTATGTTCCTCTTAGAAGATTAACCATATCTAAGTCACTCAGGAAGCCCTTGTGAAATTCATGGTTTTTGAAAATAGACTCTGGGTTAAGAGGTCTGTGTTCAAACTTTGCTGACAAATAACAGTAGGCACAGTCACCTTCCCCCAGTATACAGGGGACGGACCGACTACACCTGGATTCGCACTGGCCTCCCAGGTCTAAATGCTGTACCAGCCAGCAGAGAATGTGGAAATGGAGGGCGTCAATAGCAGAATGAAGCATGTCTCTGACGGGTCATCCCATCTCCAGTTCTAGTCTGTTTCCTAGGACCTCAGTTTCTACATCTACTAACCAGTCAATTGCAGTTTTTCTAGGGACCATGACAAAAACGGGTCTTAATTAGGATAAGTTTTCCAGAGATTTGAAGGTGGCGTTTTCTCTCTTCCTGAGTCTCCTCTAGATTATATACCCCAAAGCTTTCAGGTGCCTTCCAAGTTTAGGTCAGACCTTGCAAAGAGCTTTTACCTGGCTTGGTCCGAGCTGACAGTCCTCTGTGAGAGAGGAAGATTCCAGCTGAGACATGTTGGGTGACGTGGAATCTACGGACGTGCTGGTGACCAGTTCCCCTAACGCATCGACTTGTCTCCTCAAGCTGTGTAAGGTGCCCTCTGTCTGCTGCTTCCCTTTGATTAACACTTCCGCTTGCTTGGACATGCAGCGTCGAAGCTGGGCCTGAAAGTGGTAGGGTAAAGTTTAGGGTTTTATACAGAAGAAATGTACCAGAACTATTAGTAGCTTCCTCACGTTTAACATTTGATAGGCAAGTCTCACTACCATAAAGTAGGAATGGCTACTGAAAATGCTCCTGTCCTAAAATACTAAAAACAAAAAATCTGGAGGCGCATACTACTGTTAGTATACGTGAACTTCTACCATTCTGTGCTGCCATTAAGTGGACCTTTTACTCAGCCTCTTGTTCCCACTGTAAGTGTGCTGAGGAACCCTACGTCCCTGGATCCCCCCGTTAAATTACTGCCACCTCTCTTCCTTTTCTGCCCACACTCAGAAGATTGGTTTATACCTGATGTCTTTAGTGTCTCCCACAACGGCTTTAATCCTCAAGCCCAGACTACTTTCTGGCTTCTCAGTGCCGCATCTTTGAAATGCTGCTCCCAAAGCCTACAGGGCACTGTCCCACAGAACTTCCCGCCCTGAAGGGAGTGAGCACATCTATTCCGTCTGATGCTGTAGCCACTGGTGTGTGTATCTTCTCCAAAGACACATTCTGTCTTCTCTTGTTCTAACTCACTTCACTTTACAGCTCTTAACCCCGGCCTTTAGGTCAGCACCAACCACTAACTCCTGGATTCTTTTCAGCTGCCTACAGATAAACGGGTTTCCCTGGACGAGTAGCAAGGCCTTCAAATTCAACATGCTCTGAGCAAGGCCTTCGTGTCTGACACCCGAGCCTGCTTTTCCTATACTTCCAACCTTTCCCCCAATCACAGGCCTGTGAGCTGTGTTATCATTCTCCATTTCCTGTCCCAAATGCTTAGTTTCTGTCAGTTCTTGTTGCGGTGAAGCAGTATTACACAGGTTAAAGAGTGCTGGACTTAACAGCAGAATTCATGGTTTTGAGCACTGTTCCTGCCGCTCACTATGTGATGCCAACTTCTCTGAGCTTCAACCACGGAATCCATACAACTGCTGTGAGCCCTGCAACGCAGCCAGTTTGACAACAGTAACTGAATGCAAGCAACCTCCCCCACTCTCCTCACAATGCCAAGAAACAGGCTACGTATGTATTTTGCGAAGGACAACCTTGAGTCGGTCCTCTCGGTGGCGCAGTTTTTCTCGCAGTGCTTCTCCCCGCCAGTGTTCATCCTTTTTCAGGTGGAAAGGGAAACATCAGTCACCACACATCACTGCCAGTAACCAAGCAGCCCTTCCCTCCTCCTGTCCTCCCCACCCTCAAGTCTGACTTCCGGCTAATCGGGGGGAGGTGGGAACCAAATTATCCTCTACAACATCCAGAGAATAGGATAAACACTTACCATTATGTGAACTTGGGAAAAATTAGGTTTTTCTTCAAAAGGTGATGGTCTCTCACTCATGGTGAATGGAAAGTTCTCTTTCAAGCTTTCCAACCCTCCTCCTAGGTTTTCATTCCTTTCCAAAACAGCTTCCAGATCTGGGGGTAGTTCTGGAAGAAACTGATTAAGATTCTTTAGGCTGGTTCTGATTTCATCTTTCACCTCAGATTTCAGCGTCCTCATTGCTTCACTGATTTCCATTTGTCTTCTCTCCAAGTCGTTTTGGTTTGCCATCTGAAAAGTGAGAGTCAAAGGCCACACTGGTAAAGTTTGGGACTGACTTAGAATTGAACTGTTTAATGTGTCATGTATTTAAAGATCTACAGATGTCCAAAGCTTGTGGTTTTCAACTACTGAAGCACCTATAAGCTGCTGAGGAAAACACTTTCACTGCCCTTTTGAGTGCAGTGACTGCCACTTGGATGAGCACAGGCACAGCACTTGTTGACAGTGTGGCACTTGCAGGAGTCAGTCTCTGGATGAGACGCAGCAGGTTTCAGACTCACTGCCAGTAACCTTGACCACATGAACTAGAGCAAGTTCACTCGCTACCTTCTGAGCCTGCTACCTTATTTCTACAAGAAGATAATACCTTGCATTAAAAAATGAGAACTAGGTGAGAATTTACATGAAACACCTCAGTAGTACCAGATAAATGACAACTAGGAGAAAAGGGCCATTTGCTGAAACAGGTCGTAAATGATCTAGATGATAAAAGTGAATGTTGTAAGGGGCCTTAGAAGTGATCTCATTGAATGCTTTTGTTCTACAGGTGAAAAATCTGGTGGTTTGAGCAGTCTAGAGGTTTCCTCAGGTAGTATAGGAGGTGTTGAATACCTGAGACTACTCTATGTGGCTCTCTCCAAAAAAAGATTATTGAATATAGTCATAACCACTGTTAATTGCCCTTCGAAGCTTGCAGAGGCTTGGGGACTTTACATACATTTTTTTTCTTGAACCAAAGTGGGTGACTTTAGGGGGTGGTTTAGAGACACAGATGAAATCGAACGACCACATGGGGTGGTCCAAAGGACAAACCAGCAGGATGAACTGAGTGGCCATCGCAGCCCAACAAGAGTTCTGGGTGGCCCGGATGCTGACACCGGCTAAGGGACATGGGGGGCGTCTAGGAGGAGACTCTCCAGGCTGAGTGGGAACTCCTCTCACACCCTGCAGGGTGGCGAAGCTTCCCCCGGAGTCACTTTTTCTTGCCCAGGAGTTTGGCTCTTACAGACTTGTTTCTGACGTAAAATCTAACATTTCAATACATGTCTTTGGGATATGACAAAATTTTATGCTAAACAACTTCATTTTTCCCTCAAAACCAACAAGAAAAGTCTATTTTGAACAAGTACTTTTTTTAAGACTACAAAACCAAATTTGACTTCACAGACATTCTTATAGTCAGCTTTCACAATTTCCACAAAGAAATACTCCTCTTTAAGAGCCATTAGAGAAATGAACTCTGTCCGGGGCCCTGGGCGAGTGTGCCCCGATAGTCCTCTCGGTCCGGGACCGCTGGCGGGGGCTGTGGGGCACACCTGTTTCTTGAGCTCCGTGTACTCGTGCTGCATCTGGTGGAGCTCCTTCATCAGGCGCCTGGCCCGTTCGTGGTTGTCCTGGGCCACCTGTTCGATTGTTGCCATTTCCTTCTGCATGCAGCTGTTCTCCTGCTTTTGCTCCTACAACGGAAGGGGGAAAATGACTGTGGCCCAGCATGTGGAGATGTCACTGCTGGCTTACTCACTCACTAGCTGTGTAACTTCATTTCCCATCTGGGCCGCAGCTTCTCTAGCTGTAAAATGCGGGTAGTTCTACCTGCCTTCTTTAGAAGCTGTGGTAGAGGCGAGGACATACCTTCTAGGAGTCCATTAGCCCAAAGTCTGAGTCCTAGATCTGCAACATTCCTTTTGATAATAAGTTACTTTCCCTTTCTGAGCTACGTTAATTATCTGCAAAGATTAAAATCCAGGTAGCTGCACATCATCTTTACAATCATGTTGCCCTCTCATTAGTTGTAAGGGTATCTATCACCATCTGGAAAACACACAAGATTTAAACATGTTCCATGTTTAAATGTGCATGTTCCATGTACACCACAGGGCTTCATGAACTCCCCGAGAGTCAGATAACCCATCCTGTGACCGTCCCTAATGCTGCCTGTCTGTCTCCATCCACCATAAATTGATTTTGAATTCATCTGAGTATTACCTCCCAAAATTTATTTCAGGAATAAAAACATGCTTAAACGGGGCTTCCTGGTTTTAGGATAATGATTAATTAAAGCTAACATTGACCGGAAAGGGTAGGCTGAGAAAACTCAGTGAGCAGTGACTGCAGCTGTGTAAATGTCTTCAGATACCTTCCTTCCCCAGAGCCGCTGCACCGCCTCCCCCCCGGGGAGGGTATGCAGTGACATGCTAGCTGAGAGTGAGTGCTCTCTGCTTTGTGCTAACACAGCGTGTTCACGGGACGGTCTTTCCGGCCAGCCTGATGGGGCTCCTCTAGGGCTGCAGCCCGGACGCAGGCAAAATCAACCATCAGCTTTAAGGACTAATTATGCCTAAATACACCAAAAGCAACAGTTGGGTTGACAGGTAATCTATTTCCTCTACCCTGAAGCAGTGTTTCAGGTTCAACATTTAAATGCATCCTTTGCTCATAAACTGCTCGGGCAGCAGGTACTCACGAGGAGATTCCTCTCCAGCTGGCTCCGCTGGACCTTAAGCGCTTCCTTCAGGCCGAGAACCTGTTTCTCAGATTTCTTCCTCTCGGTCAAGAACTGGTTCCGCAAGAGGCTGAAGTCTGCCCTCATAGAATCTGTCTCTTTCTGGAGAGCCAGCAGCTCATTTGACTTTTCCACTAATTGCTGTTCCCGTTCTGAAAGCTGTTGTTCTGAAATGAGCATTTTCAGTACTTTAGCCAGAGGGCCTGGGCTGGCTGCGGGCGGAGCTTTCCTTCCCACACGGGCAGACTGCACATGAGCGAGGAGTGATGTGCCACACGCCCCTCCCTCACCGAGTCTTCCAAGCCCCCCCAACCCCGACACACCAGAGGCCCAGACGAGGGTGCCTCTTGACATAACTGGTCTTGGGGGTCCTGACTCCAACGTGATAGCTACTGTGTCCTTTTTAAGTCTTTGACTCAAAAACAGCCCCAATCCTGAGGTGCAGGGAACATGGAACATGCTGCTGAAGTGTTTTTTTATAGACCTTGATTTTAATCAAGGGAGGCAGACCAGCACTTACTTCTTCCTTCACAGGAGGCGGTCCTGTGCAAAGAACACAAAATTTGGAGTGGTATGAGCCCTAGTTCACAGGGGAGCCTCTCTCCTGGTATTCAGTGGGCATCACGTATGCAAATACATCGTACACAGTGAGACTCAATGAACAATGCTCATAAATAACAGTGACGGCTAAAACAATTTTTTCTTATCACCCTCTTTAGAGTAACACCCTATCATTTCACTTTTTACACCTCTGGCATTGTCATGCTTCTCTTTAAAATTTTTGTTGTTGCTGTTGCTGTTTCACTTTCATAATGAAATGGTTGGGTCTGGGGCAATCAAGAATTCTCAGGGAAAAAGGAATAATAACCCTTTCAGATCCCCAAGTCCACTGAGTTTACTTGGAGGTGGGGGGAGGGGACAACATTTTCTGGTCATTAGTAAACCCTGCAGAAAAAAATAATAATTTATTGGTGTTAGAACAGTCATTTACTCGGATTCCCATGTCAATTTCATTTATATACAACGTAAAAGAGAACAAACAGACCTAAAGGCAAATACTTGTATCTTGGTATCTGTCAAATTAAATATTGTTTCTTTCACTGGTTGAGATGAAATGGGTAGTTTTCAAAGCTTATAAATAATGTACTTCATAGAGCACCTTCTGGCACTCCCTTGCCTTAATGTCCCACTTTCTTGGGACAGCATTCTCAAAGAAGACAATACGGAAAAGCAGAAAGGCTTACCAGTCAGTCCCAAATGCCAACAGATGGAAAGCCACCATCATAAAGACAAAGTATTTCCTCCCCTTTCGCAGGCAGGGCTGGGAGGACCCCATCCAAACATGCTTTCCTTTCTGGGCCATGTTTGGGGCCTGGATCTCACGCACACACTTTACATGACACTGGACAGCCCCCAGCCCCCAAGTGTGATGTTCCAGAACACATACGGGTTTGGGAGAGCGACTTCTCCAGGGCCTCATTCCACCTTTCCTCTTCCTGCAGGGTCCTGACACGCTCTTCTGCCACCAACAGCTTTGTGAGCACCTGGTCCAGTTTGATTTTCTTGTCTGTTAATTCCTTTTCCAGCTGGTGCTGCTGCTCCTTCAGTGTCACTTTCCTGGCTTCTAATTTTCTTTCTTCGCTTTCTTGCTCTTTCTGGAGTCTTTGAAACATCTAATAAAGAACAACTTTAGTTACTATCCAGTAACAAATAGTATCTCAAATGAGGTAACCTTCATGGACACTAGGTATATTCCAGTTCGACAGAGAGTAAGAAATGGCCCATGGTGACAGAGTGAACTCCTTGTATAAAGATGACCAAGCAGGGACTTGAAAAAGATTTGGCCAGCATCTCAGAAGGGTATTCAAGCAGCAAATGACATGTAGCCATCAAGATTCTTTATAGCAGGGGTCCCCAACTCCCAGGCCACGGACTGCTAGTGCTCTGTGGCCTGTTAGGAACCCTGGAGCACCGCAGGAGGTGAGTGGCCGGCAGACTGGCAGACTGGGGAAGCTTCCTCTGTATTCACAGCTGCTCCCCATCACTGCCATTACCACCTGAGCTCCACCTCCTGTCAGATCAGTGTGGCATGAGATTCTCACCGGAGCAGGAACCCTACTGTGAACCGTGCATGCGAGGATCTAGGTTGTGTGCTCCTTACGAGAATCTAGTGCCTGATGATCTGAGGCGCAGCTGAGGCGGTGATGCCAGCGCTGGAGCGGCTGCAAACACAGATTATCATTAGTGGAGAGGTTTAACTGCACAGAGACTGTAATAAATCAATTGCTTGCCGACTCAAAACCTTATTACTGTGTGGCAAGGGACAATTAAGCTGCATCTGGTGGCAAGCTATAAAGCCATTCTCCCACCAATTCAGTCCATGGAAAAACTGTCTTCCATGAAACTGGCCCCTAGTGCCAAAAAGGCTGGGGACACCTGCTTTATAGGACCAATGTTCTAAGGTCATAATACTAACACTAAGAGAGAGTTGGTTGCAGTATCCCCTGGTTACACAAGAGCAGGTAAGGGAAGCTAGTCCCATGGGGTACTTCTCAGCAGGATTCTGCCAGGGGGAGAAAAGCTCACACGAGTGACAAAGTGTTTCCTGTTGCATAAAATCTTAAGTACGTAGTACCGTTTCTTGTTGGGCTAGTTTGGCTTTGTTTTCTTCAATCTCATTCTGGAGCACTTGAAGCTGTTGCTGCTTTGTCTCCCCTTCTCTCTGGCAGTCTTCGAACCTCTTTGTCCACTCACTGATGTCCTTCTGCAGCCTGGTCTGCTCACTGAGCAGTGCGTCCTTATGCTTGGTGGTGTGGAGCAGGTCCTTTAGGTGAAAGAATACACTGAAACTTCTAACAGAGCCATCTTTACTAGAAGCAGCTAGTGCCACTCCAGTATCTGCCAAATCTAACAAAATGAGATAAAAATAAAAGTTCCACATCCTTTATTATCTCAACAAACAACAAACTTATACCAAGGTTCCCAGAACTCAACCACTGACCTTCTTTTTAGTACCTATAAAAATAAGATGACAGATGTCAGAACCTCAACAAGAGATTCAGTTCTGAGTTTCAGCTGCATTGTCACTAACGTGGGAATAAACAATGCCCATCTCACAGGCTTGCTAAGGATATTAAGAAAAACTGTGACTTCTTATTGAAAATGAACCTAAGTCATGGTTTTATTATCACGTGAAATATACAGGTTAAAAAACTCAGAAAACAATACATCTTTCTTCAAATTAAGCATTTTTTAAGTTACCATATTTCTAACAACACAAAAATATTCATGAGAATCCATGTAAGATTTTTAAAGACAATACTTTGATTTTACATTTTATACATCTTAGAAACACAGAATTCTAGAAGTAGAAGAGAATTTAGTTGTCTAATCAAACCCGTAATTTACAAAGTGGAAACTAAGGCCCAGAACTTGCTTGAGGTTCTTTGAAACCCAAAATATAACACTATTCTGCTGTGGCCAGGTGGCTGGCTCACTTGGTTGGAACATCATTCTGTGTACAGACACACACACACACAGAGTTGTAGGTTTGATCCTGGTCAGGACACACACCTAGGCTGGTGGTTCACTCCCTGTGAGGGACCATAAGAGAGGCAATTGATTGATATTTCTCTTTCATCAATGTTTCTCTCTCTGTATCTCTCTGTCCGCCCCCCTGCCCCGAAAATCAGTAATATATCCTCAGGTGAAGATTTAAAATACATAATATATAAACACTATTCTCAAAGGACAACACCAAAATACTCTTAAGTAGATCATCAGAAGTATAAGGGTCAAGAATCCACTCTATTCAACATCTGAGAAGACAGGGACCCAGCTCTGGCAGTTACTCAGCAGCTCAATGAGTGATGAGATCTTTCGTCTGTGCCACAGACAAAAGATGGTCCATCTGGTCCCTGAAGCTTCCACAGGGACTGCTGAGGGGTCGGGCTCTGGTCTGTCACCTTATTTATTAATTCTGAGTAAAATGTTTGAATCAAGAGTTCTAGGGCTAAGATAAATTAGAAAATCACTGTTCTGCATCAAAATTTTTGTGTATGTGATGTCTGTGCTGTATAAATGGCCCTATGGGACCCGATGGTATGAAAAGGAACCGACCTACCTGATTGATATTTCAACCAATTGTCTGCATGCCTTGAGGGTACTACTAGAAGTTCACACTTTAGGCTCACCTGTTTTGTTAGGTTCAAATGGTCTTGGACATCAGCCAGTTCTTCCTGTAGTGAGTTTAGTGCCTCTCGTTTTTCTATAGAAATAACATTTACATGTATAAGAAATACATACGTATACATTTTCCAGATTCCCTTTAGCTCCCTCCAAAAGTAGGGGAAGTGAATTTAAATGTATTTCTGAAAATGTGTGACTATGCCACACTATCTTTTTAAAGACCAAAGAGAGAGAGGTACATGCACAACCCAGATCTGGGCTCAAAGCCTAGGATTGTTAAAGATCTTCATTTTGAAAACTCAACAAAAAATTTATATGGATAATGCCCAGTGTTGATGAAGTGCATGATTTACAATCAGGTACTTTCAACACCGCTGGTAGAAACATCAATTTGGTACAACCTTTCAGGAAGACAACTTGGGAATAAATTTTCTATCTGTGTTGGTTTTGTCACTTACTAGCTGTGTGAACTTCAGCAAGACACTTATCTTTCAGCAAATGACAAAGAAACTGAAGTTCCCTCATTTATAAATGGGTAAAATAAAAATGTTAGGATGGTTAAATGAGAAAAATGTATACAAAGTACTTGCATCATGTCTAAGACATAGTAAGTAATCAACAAGTACGTTATTAGCTAGAATGACCTAGTAAATTCTCCTAAGTAATAAGTAATTATGAAGATTTGGTAATAAAGACATTATTTGCATCTTTATTTTTCTTTTTAAAGCTATATAAACAAACACACACATCCACAGAAAAAATCTGGAAGGATATTCACCAAACTGTTAATAGGAATTATCTCTGTGGGGTGAAATAATAGTAATTTTTATTTCACTTTTCTGCTGTTTTTAAAATTATTCTTTAAGAAGTGAAAATTAGTTTTAAACAGGTGTAGATATTCATATACTATGTATCTCACCCACTTACAGTATACGATTCAGTGACTTTCAGCATGTTCATAGTTGCACAATCATCACAATCTAGATTTAGAGCATTTTTGTCATTTCTAAAAGGAATCCCATGCCCACTGGCACGAGTTATTCTACAAGGTCAAACAACTAAAAGATGATGCTAACGGAGGGCAGAAGCTCCTGCTGAGCTGCCCCTACCTCGGAGCTGCTGCTGCACGGCTGCCACGTCTTTCTGAAGGGACAGCTTGTCTCGGTTTGAGCGGTCTAGATCCTGCTGCAGCTTTCTGACACCCAATTCCAGCTTCTCCAAGTTCGATTGCTCCATTTTGCTGTTCTCTTCTGTAGCTGCTAAAACCCTACCATCCAAGTAGAGAATAGACAGACTGTCAAATACTTAATGTTCAAGCATACATAAGAGACAATGGAGGATCAGTGCTAACACTTTCATAATGCAATTATGGAATCTGAATGATTATAAATCTTAAAAAAAATCTAAGGCCCTTCAACTCATTTTCATAAGAAACCTTATTTTCAGCTTTCCAAATAGGACATTTTTCAAAAAGTAACTCACTAAATTGGAAGTTTTATAAAAACCAAGAAGATAAACATGACTAACATTAAGAATTCCAAAAATCTGAGTGAATAAAATGGATCTCTAACTTCTGATAAGTGCAAAAGCAAGAGGCACGACTGTCAAACAGCATCTGTCCACAGGTAGACGTGCATGAGCATGCATTCTTTCACATAACTGGAAGCACACAGTATGGCCTTGGTTTTATCTGGCTTCTTTCACTGAGAATGATTATTCTGAGATTCAGCCGTGTTGTTGTATCAACTCCATCCCTTCTTATTGTTGAGTAGTGGTCCACAGTAGGGATGTACTATAATTTGTCTGTTTACCAGCTGATGGACATTTAGATTGTTTCTAGTTTTTGGCTATGGCAAATAAAAGCTGCTATGAACATTGGCGTATAGCCTTTGTAGGGACACAGGCTTTCGTATCTCCTGAGTAAATACCTAAGAGTGGAATTGCTAGATCTTCTGGTAGGTACATGTTTGAATTGTGTTTGTTTGAATTTTTAAGTAACTGCCAAACTATTTTCCAAGGCAGTCTTATGAACATTTTACACTCCCACTAATCATACATGAAAGTTCCTTGCTAACATTCGGTATGGTCAGTCTTTAGTTTTAGCTGTTCTAATAGGTGTGTAATGAAATCTCATTGTGACTTTAATTGCATTTCCCTAATGGTCCATGATGCTACATATCTTTTTATGTGCTTATTTGGCCTTCATGTATCTTCTGAAGTGAATTGTCTGTTCAAATCTTTTGCCCATTGGGAAAATTAGATTGTTCTTTCTCTTACTTGAATTTTGAGCGTTCTTTATATATGTATATTCTGGGTGCAAGTCCTTTATAAGATGGATACATGGTTGCAGTCTCTGACATGTCTTTTCAGTATCTTAACAGTGTCTTTTGAGAAGGTTTTAAATTCTGTTAAGTCCAATTTTATCAATTTATTCTTTTGTGGATTATGCTTTTGGTCTTACAGATAAAAAAAACAACTGCCTAACCCAAGGTCACGAAAGGCTTCTTCCTAGAAGTTTTATGCTTAGGTCTTGCATTTATGAGTTAATTTTGAGTTAATTTTCATATATACTCTGGGGTATGGTTCTTGTTTTTTCTTCTTTGGTTTTGGATACGCAATTTTTCAGAAACAAGATCCTCTTTTCTCTACTGAAAAAGATGTCTTTGCATCTTTGTCAAAATCAGCTATCTACATATTAGTCAGTTTATTTTTGGACTTTCTATTCTGTTCCACTGATGTGTATGTCCATCTTTATAGCCGTAATGTGTTGTTTTCATCACCATAACTGCATACTAAGTCTTGAAACTAGGTGGTGTTAGCCCCAAGTGCGTTTGGTGTCATAGCTAACATGTTTTAGATTTTATCCTAGGTCCTTTGCATTTCCATATGAATTTTAGAACCTGACTGTCAATTTCTATTTAAAAAGTCCGTTGGGATTTTGATTGTAATTGTTTTGAATCTACAAATCAATTTGAGAAGAACTGAATCATAACAATATTGTCTTCCTATCCACAAAGAAGGTGTATTTCTTCACTTATATATATCTTCCAGCATGTATTATTTTACTTAAAAAACACACACAAAACAGGTTATTTAAGAAAATGTGTCTGGGAAAAAAACATAAAAGGGAATTCACCCAAAAAATGCTACTGGTGCATTTTATTGTGATACTGAGTTTGTGGACTGTAAAGTCTATTTTCCAATTTTTTTAATAGTGTGTTTATAATGTTCTAGCTTTTAAGAAGTGAACTTGAAAACTTGTTTGTTCCTACCCTCACCGTTTGGTTTGTGCCACCTTCTTTTCCCAGCTGTCACATTCCTCTTTGAGATCTTGCTTTTCTTTACACAGAGACTCAATACATGACTGTAATGCTCGGGTCTCAGCAGTTATTCGCTCTACTTCCCGTCTGTCCCTCTCGAGGAGCTGCTTCTGCCACTCTGTTTCCCCTTTCTGTCGCAGGGCTGCCTGCTGCAAATTCTCTAACTCCAGTTTCGCCTAAATCAGATAAAAGATGACTCAAACATACTGAAAGACCAAGACTGCAGTTTGGTATGGGTAAAACAGCTTTGCTTATTACCTCCAGCACTTCAACCTGAGTCTTCTCTAACTCAGACATTTTTTGGTCATGTTGTAGCTTCAAGCCTTGTAGCTCACTGTTTTCAAGTTGCAACATGTCCAGAATATTCTTTAGTTCTAACAGAAAGAAAGCATGGTCCATGCTATTAAATGAACTTGGAGACATTTATAAAATAAAACAGAACATAATTCTACTGCCCGATACAAGAAACAATAGATAAAACATACTTGTGCTGAAATAATGGAGCTAATTAATCGTATTCTTAATTAAAAAAACCCTTTAGAAGTATTACTAACCATTAATTTTTAATAAAAACATTAATAGAGATCTAGTTCTAAAAGCATTTATCCCACCTACAAATTTTAATCAAAATAAATAGAAAAAAACTTTAAAATACATAAGTCGAGATTTACATAACAAATTTTTGTCCTTTGAAACATAGATTTTTAAATAGTAACTTTTTTCTGATTATAAAAATATTTGCTAACTACAGAAAATTTGAAAAAAGTATAAAAGAAAAAACCCCGTAATCACCCCACATCTACTACACTCAGTCGGACACACTTCCGGAGCACATGTGCACATGGGTACTGTTTACAAATGAATTTGGACCAGATGCTACATTCGGTTTTCATCTATTTTTTCACTCTTCTCACCAGCATTTTTGCATGTCATTCAATTTTTAACACATGGGCTTTTAAATTGGTCATTTGCGTCTAAATTTTGTCATAAATTTTGCTTCAAGTAACCAACTTGGGCAGCTTAATTTGTGAAACAAGGAAATACAGGCTTCTCTTAAAAAAATATTCCTGTGGTGTGCATGTATGTTTGCCTTCTCTAGAAAACCAGAAATGGCTAACTGTTTCAATGGGTGTGAATTTTACAAGTCCTGAAACACTGGGAGAGTGTTCCAATTTATACTTTGAAAAGTGCTCTTTCTTCACTCCTGGGTCAACAATGAATATGATTAGTCTGCTTTTAAATGAACTTTATCAATGTAAATGGCAGAAAATATCTTATTCCCTTTATAATGTTTTTCTTTGCTTATTAGTAGTAAGGTTAAACTTTAAAATAAACCAGGTTTATTTGACAATTTGGTATTTCTTTCTGTGACCTGGAATACAGACATTTCCAACCTGAGACTTTATATGACTGTTTTCCTTTAAACTTACCAGTTTTATGTTTAGACATTTGCCCTAAAACTACCTGAAGATTTTCTTCTTCTTTTTCAATTTCCTGCTTTATGAGAATAAGTTGAGTTTTTTTTTCACTAATCTGCACATTCAGTTCTCCTTTCTGAAAACTCAGTTCTTCCAGAAGAGATTTTACTTCCTGTGTGAAAATAAATAAATAAAATTCTATTTTTAATAAATTCACAAAATTATGAATGAGAATTACTTTAGTATCAGTTCTGTTATTAACTGTCTCATTTTATAGAAATTCTAATTTGGAAACAAGCTCATTTTTGCCTTTTATGTCCAGAACAGCACTGTATTTCACACTAAAATAATTCTGTATAATAGAAGAAAGTAACATACTATCTTCAGTTAAAATGTGTATGTAATATTTGCCTCATTTTTGCCTTTTATGTCCAGAACAGCACTGTATTTTACACTAACATAATTCTGTATAATAGAAGTAACAAAGTAACATACTATCTTCAGTTAAAATGTGTATGTATATTTGCCATGTGCAAGGCAATGTGTCGTAGAGAACATGGCTAATTCAGGTGTATCTCCTGCCCTCAAGGGGTGGCTTAGTGCCTTGTGGGGAAGTAAGGCTGAGAACACAAACATGATCAGGAAAGGCTAAGATACCCTAGGAAACATGCAGAGTGCTGCTAAACTCAGAAGACAGAGTCCTTCCAGGGTAAAGGGAAAGTCTGTGAAGTGTTAGTGGTATGAACCTGGACCACGAAAAATGGGTAGGATCTGGACAGTCTCAGAGAGGGAATTCCTGGAGAAGAAATGGCATGAGAAAGGCAGAGGCAGGAAACCTTGGGCACGTCCAGAAAAAGTTATGGGAGAGCTACACTTAACAGCCACAGCACGGGTATATAACACACCACCGAACAAATGTTACAGAGGGGTCAAGATTCAGGAATTTCTATTTGCATTTGGGGTGGAACCAAGAGAAGTATCTCAAAATAAACCTACACCACTACCCTAGGACCCCTAAGAAAATCCACAGGAAAACATACCCTGATATGACTGCACTTCTCAGCCACCTCAGTTTCTCCCAGACTCAGAGCTTCCTGGAGGTCAGCTTTGGCCTGGACCATGCTTTCTTGGAGTAGGTGCAGCTCCTCCTTTTTATGCCCTAACTGCCTGTCCAAGACTGCCATCTCCTGCTGCTGAGCCGTCACCTGCATTGAAGAAAAGGGAAGCACACAGACCTTGACAAAGGCCACACAGCATTCGTGTTGAGACAAAGTGTTTAGTCCAGCTGGAGGTTGTGGGAGAAGTTAGGAGCTAGCCTAATGCTAATTATCCTAGCTGGAAGAGTCAGGAAAGCTGGGCTGGGGAAAGAGGCATGAAATGCCCAATAAAGACATTGAGCTCACATAAGTAAAATCACTCAAATCACACTAAGAACAAAAATAGGGTAATAATGATCCCTGAGCTAATGGCTGTCAAAAAACTTTCCTATCTATACCTTATTCCATTTGATAACTACTTTGGCAATGGAAGCTAGGCAGGGATCTTAAAAATTTATTCATTATGTAAATTTAAAAATTACTTACAATTTTAAAAGTAACATATTTGTTTATAGAAAATGCAAACATGAAGAAGAGAGAAAGTGGAAAAATCTTCATAATCCCCCCTTATCAGATGACTACTTTTATACTTTGGTATAAAAATATAAACGTAAGTAAATGTTCATAAACACATTTAACATAAATGATCTGAGGATATCCTGTCCTGAGACTCACTTCTTTTACGCAATAATACATTTTATTGGGCTGGGATTAAAATTTGGGTGGACTCCATTCTTACTCACTAGGATATATAGCCTCATTTGTGCTTTAAACTTTTAAAAATATTTTCCAGTCTTTTCAATAATGAGACATGTATTACTTTTTATACTCATCACACAAATGTAGGTTTCCAAGCACCATGAACTGGTTTTTCAAGGCATCTGTTGCCACACCTGGCTTTTCAGCTTCTCCAGCTCGGCCCTCTTGGCCTGCAGAAGGGTCTCTGACTCTTCAAGGACCTGCAGGTGGTGATCCTCATTGCGTTCTGCAGTCTCGATGTCTTTTTGCAGTTTCTGCAGCCTGTAAAGCACACAGTAATAGAGCAGATCCAAGTGCAGACTGATCCCCACCCCAGTAAAGTCCCCTGAAGCGCCACGGAGGCCACAGTACTTACTCTTCAGTCAGTTTTTCCTTCTTCTTGTTTAGACACTGGAAGTCTGAGTCTTTTGCTGCAACAACTCTGTTTATTTCTTTCAGGATTTCTTCTTGTTCAATTTTGTGTTGCTCCAAATCCTTTGTGTCAGCCTGGATCAATCTAAAACATTGTTTTATTCCCTTAGACCAAACATGCACAATTTATCATAAAGCAATTATTATCCTCTTAGAACTAAACTTTCAGTTCATCTCACTGATTATATCAACAGCTGAGGGATTCCACCTACCTGAGTTGCTGGTTGGCTTTGACAAGGTTAATAGCAGTCTCCTGAGCTCTCCTTTCTAATTCCTCGGCATCTTTCTCGGTTTGCAATAAATTTCTCTTGGCATCGGTGAACTTTTCGACAGCATTTTTTGTCTGGAAAAGAAACTGTCATTAAAAGCAGTTCAGCTACAGTACTCTGTCACAGCTATTGGTAGTGTAAATTGGTATAACTCTTGGAAAGCAAAGCAATATAGAAATACTTTTAAAAATGTTCATTCACTCTGATGCTCCAATTCTCAGGAAAGAATTCAGAAATAATTACCACACAGACATGCTCACTGTATATTGAGATAATCTAAGAGGGCAAATAATAGATTCAACAAGTGATAATGTATCAACACAACAGAACACTGCAGCCTTTAAAAGAGGATGACAATGCAGAAACATGGAAGAATGTTAGTGATATGATGTTGATGGAAAAAGATAAATTTAAAATGGTACAGGTGCTATAGGAGCAACTATGTAAAACTATGTATATCTGTGTCAACAAGGACAGAAAAACTATGCAAAAATAAAAGTAATTGTTTGAGGATGGTGAGGCTGGATGCTCTTATTTAAGAAATAATCTAGCACTGGCTGGTGTAGCTCAGTGGATTGAGCATGGGCCTGTGAACCAAAAGAGCGCGGTTTGATTCCCAGTCAGGGCACACGCCTGGGCTGCAGGCTAGTTCTCAGCAGGGGACACACGAGAAAGCAACCATACATTGATATTTCTCTTCCTCTCTCCTTCCCTTCCCTTCTAGAGATAAATCAAAATTAAAAAAAGAAATAATCTGTAATATCATTACACGTTATTTTTTTCAATTAGCAATACCTACCTAATTAAGTAGCAGTGAAGTGACTTGACTAATACTCCTCCACACAGAGGATCTGGCTACACTCCAGCTATTTTCACGTTAAGTAAAACCTCATTAATCTGAAGATGATTTAATTATGGCTACGACACACAGACATTAGATACTTTTGAAATATTTCAAAATATTCCTATACAAAATTTGGCAAAAGCAGTAATTTTTTTTATCAACTTGGTTTCTCTTTGGTTCTAAAAATAAATGGCTTAAAACAATGTTGTCAAAGGCCCCAAAACAGAGTGTGGCCTGTACAGCACTTGGTTGAGCAGCGTGACTCGCCATCAGCCAAAAGCCTCAAGTTTTACAGTTGCACTAAATCAGAGGCGCCTGTATGTTAAACTGGTCTTTAAGTATCTTGCATGAATACAAAGGGCCAGCAAGCTCTTGAAGAGCCACAGGTAATTCACTGAACTTCTTTCCATCTCACATGGCTGGTTTCTGCCCCTTTCACTGGTAAAGCACTGGACACAACTCAGTATGTATCCCAGAATGCCCTATTTCCAAGTGGCTCTTTGTCTCCTTCTGTGTCAGGTTCTAACATGTCTGGCACATTCCTTACAAAATGCAGCACTTTCTCCCTTCCTCTTCCTCCTTAGCAAGCTGCTTCCCTGAGTCACTTTTGGAGCATGAAGGGAAAATAACTTATTAGCCTTGGTTCACTTACTATCTCTATCTCTGCCTACAACCGCTATCATCCATTTTCTTTTATACACCAGTGACATATTTTTCTCTAATCCTGCTCACACTTGTTTTGTCTCACAGTAATGCAACATGTGACAGGAGGAACAGATCATCTGAAAAGAGATGAGGATATTTTTCCATTCTTATTAAAACCATCACTCAAAAGCTTTCTTTAATAGATACTTCATGTCAGTTCTTCAGTTATAGATTTCTACTCTTTACATCAGTCCATGTTTGAATGACAATATAAAAACAGTAGTTCCTGAGGTTGCTCCATGCAGGTATGGAACTTCATCCTGGAATTCTCATCTAACTAAAAAAACCTCTTGGTGGGGCAGAACTCTGTGTAGCCCTGGACCAGTTACCAGCCTTTCTGAGACAGTTCTGTGAGCTGGGCCAACAACCATCTCACAGGGATGCCAGGAAGGTAAGATGAAGTGATTTTTATAAAACGGCCAATGTGTGGTAGAAGGTAGCTCCTTTTCCTCTCTGACTTCCTTCTGTGTTGCAGTCTCAAGACTATTATCTCAGACCAAAAAATACTTGATTTTATATCCTTATCAACACAGAGAACGAAGTAAGACTAGGAGTCCTAGAAGGTCTGTTGTTGCTTTATAAGATTGTAAGATTGATCTATTTAATAAATACAGATATCAAAGCCCAAATAAAAAGAGACCCACATAAGATAAGGAAGTAGCATGTGTTAGGAACTAATGACTTTAGGAGCTTTAAATATGCTACTTCATTTAGTTAACACTAAACAGCCCAGGTATTCTTAGCCTGACCTTATGAGTGAGGAAAGCAAAGCTCAGGGACTTAATGACGTGACCAAGTTCTCATAGCTCCTTAACTAGCAGCGTCCAGCCTGAAACACAGCTGTCTGGCTTGGGCAACAGTACTCTTAACACATTTTCTTTCTAACCCTTCATGCTGATGACAGAAAGCTGTCTCACCCCAAACCACAAGTGAACGTACTTTCTCTTCTGTGCATGAAAGTTCACTCTCAGCTTCTGCCAGCAGTCGGTCAGCTTCCCTGAGTTCTGTTCGACGTTTCAGAAGAGTTTTCTCAATGCACTCAATTTCATCTACAATATCTTCATGGTGTTTGAATGATTTTTCTATTTCTAGTTCATTCATATGACTCCCCACATTTCCATCAATGAAGTCTCTTAAAAAATAAAATTAAAAAACACACATTAAGAGATTTTAAATGTTACAATATAGACACTTGCAGCCTAAACCAATGTTAATATTTCTATTTTTCAGTGGTATAAGAATAAAACAAACAACTAACACAATAATGATCCATTACTCAAAATTATCCAAGACACAGTTCACCAGCTGCCCCAAAGACTACCTAATTTTGTTCTGCCAGAGTAAAATTATGGTGATGCTATCTGACAAATCAAAAAGCATGACACAGGGTTCAGTAACTCTAGACTATCGTGTTAAAATTACTTAAAAATGAGACCATCTACAGCAGAAAAACATAAAAGTAAATGCAGCAACATATTCACAGATTATCTGGAAATGAACACATAGACTGGTTTTTACTTTTTCCTTTCAATTTTTATGTTATCAAATTCTCTAAGATGATCATTTATATTATACTTTTATACCTGGGAAAAGCAGTGGATGGAGATGGAAGCACTCCTATCCTCCTCAAACCACAACCTGCCCACCCCCACCCTGGCAGGTATGGCTCCATTGGTTGGAGCATCATCCTCTAACTGCAAGATGGCGGGTTCAACTCCTGGTCAGGGCACATGCCTCGGCTGTGGGTTCAATCCCTGGTCTGGGCATGTATGATCCCTAGTCCGGGCACATATTAGAGGCAACCAATCAATGTTTCTCTTTCCCTCCCTCCCTCTCTCTCTGAAAGCAATGAAAAAAATACCGCCAGGTGAGGATACAAACAAACAGAAAACCACTCTCCCACATATACACCTACAAAAATAATAAGTATAACCATTCCCTGAACCATCAAACATCTAGTCCCAAGGCTCCTGCTTTTCCCTGCCAGGTCTACTACAAGGCAGAGACCTGGCCTCCTCACTCCCCTGTGTGTCCTCCACAGGTCTCCCCCTGGCCCTGGTGCTTAGGCCAGTCTGGCTTAAATGACATAAGCAGGGGAAGTACCGTAATTCATGGAGTACTGCAGAAGGTGGGCTTCTACACAAGGGACCCATTTAGCAGATACTGCATTCGTTCACAGGCCCTACACCAGGTGCTACGGAATGGAGAGAGAAGCCTAGCTACTGCCCTCCTGGGCTCCTTAAAACATGCTGTGAACAGTACTATGCCCAAGGCTGCCGACCCCAAATTGTGAGAGCCTGAGATGAGAAAGACCTCGTGTAAAGGGGGATCTCTGCTCTTTGTCTTGAAAGACAGACCGGAGTTAGGCAGGGGAGTAAGGAAGCTATTCCGGGCACAGGACAGTACATGCGACAGTGGGGAGGCAGAAGAAAACGTAGTGCTTGGGGAAACCACAGCAAAGTAAGGAGAGCCACAGCGAATACTGTGGGAGGGCAGGATAAAACAGGTAGGCAGGGCTCAGATCTTGGGTGAGAGGTATATTCTGATGGGACTAAGAGTCACATAGGAGAGAGGCACTGTGAGATTTGTAGCCAAGCTGACAGACAGGAGTTTAGACTAGATGAAGCAGGCCAGTGCAGTGGAGATGAAAGTAGGGACCAATGTGAGACCTCTTTGAATAGAACCAGCAGAACTGGGAGATTAGCTGATGCCTGGGGGAGTGAGGGAGAAGGAGATGCACATGACACCTGGCATGTTGTTAGTTAGGGTACCTGGGGAGAGGGAAGGGTTGTACCATTCTCCATGAGGGACTAGAAGAGCTGATTTGCATTATTGGCTAAAAGAATTTAGGCTTACACTGTCTAATATAGAGGTCACCATGTGGATATTAAATTAATTTAAATTAATTCTGTTCCTCAGTTCCATCAGCCATATCTCAAGTGCTCAATAGCCACATGCGACTTGTGGTTACTGCTTTGAACAGTTCAGATCTAGACTATTTTCAAGTTCTATTGGACAACACTGGTTTAGACTACCTTAGTGGACAAATGTTATATTCATCTGAATTATAAAAATGAAATGGCTAATAACTACTTTCGGTGTTGATGCTTCTGAATGGTTCTATGTAATTCTTCTACTTCATGTTCTAAGTCTTTCTTCTCTTGCAAGAGACCATCAATATTATGATGCAGTTCTTCCATTTCTTTCTCAGGTTGCCGCTTGGATACTCTCATCCACTGTTCCCATTTTTTTGATTTTAAATGCTGCATTATGTCTTCCAATCTAGAAACTTCACTCTCCTGAATAAAAAAGAAAAATGCAATAATGAAACATTACATGATATTTTCCTTCTTTCCTGCCAAAAGCTGAGATTAACTGTGGTTAAAGTGGTTATGTTTGACCTGAAAATGGTGGTAGTTTTTAAGGCTTCACTATAAAAAGGAAAATTAAGCCATTTTTTCATATACCATAGATGAAATGGGTGGATTAATAAAGCTTTTAACTTTTCCAGCCATGTCCAACCATGGTTGATAAACATTCACCAAATACCTCGCATGGACAATCTCTGCCTCCAGAGTTCAGCGTCTAGAAGAGACACACAATGAAGTCTCTCCCTCCTCTGGGCACATGGAAGGGAAGCCTGGTGAGAAGGCTGACCAGAGGAAGAGGGGTTCTGCCTGGGTTTTGAAGAATAATTGAAATGGAAAAGACCTAAGCTAAAAAATAACGTGCAAATATAGGGAGGTATGAAATTGTACCTGGAAAACTACTGAAACAGCTGGGTACTACTGGAGGGTAAAAGAACTAGCTTAAGAGATTCTCAAACGCTGAACCGAAAGAACTGCTATAAACTCAATGTGCACCGAAAAACTGCAAGACGATACGCATGCCTGTCATGTTAACCACGTAAGTACACACAGTCCTGAAACTAGTCTGACTGATTAAAATGGGACTGGTGCCTGGCACCCAGGTGTCCTAGTCCTTCTTATCAATCTGCTAAGAAAAGGGAAAAATAAAGAGCTCTGGGTGTCTTATGTTAGAAGGAGGAGCTTGTAAAATACATTTCTTTCTCTAAAACCTAAAAACTTATAAAGTAAACTAGTGATTTGGAAATAGTAATTTCTTGGAATCTAAACTGAGAATATGAAATACTGTAAAAATTACACACACCTAAGTCAACCATAGCGCCTACAAATAATGTGTGGTCATACTATTTAAAAACATTTGTAAAACCATGGGAAAATGCTTGTAACATTAAGTGGGAAAAACGGATACAAAATTGTATGCACACTAAGAACAAAACTAGGAAGAAACGGAAATAATGATCAATAAATCTCACCACCCAAAAATAATCCCCACCAAAACCTGTGTGCTGTTCATACATGTACACACATGTGTATGCATGTACCCACATATATACGTGTGCATGTGTACAAATACAAGCACCAGTACACGGCTATATTTATATATACACATTAATATAGTACTCATCGGTAGAAAAATATATAATAGACTTTCTAAAAATGGTTACTTTCTGACACCCTGGACTCCAAGACGGTGTCAGTTGTACCATAAAAGGAGAAGAAACTCATGGATGTCAAACTAGGGGAGCTGCCAAGCTGGATACTGATGTGGAATTTCATCCCAAAGGCTTTGCTGAAGTGTTTCAAAGAGGTTACTACTGGGATTATAGGTATGTCGATGGGAAGAAAGGGAATGCTGCTGGAGTTTCTATGGTGCTGGCAGCTTACGTACTTTTTAACTACTGCTGTTCTTACAAGGAACTCAAACTTGAGCAGCGATACAAGTACCACTGAAGAGGACCCAGTGTGGACTCCATATTCCTGACCATTATTATCTTTGCACAGCACCTCTGAATCCTTTCATATAGTAACTAACACCTGATAAAAGATGACTGGTACTGGAAAAAAAAAAAAGGTTACTTTCTGGATGAAAGCCATCGTTATATAATGAGTTAAAACAGGTTTGTAGACTGGTCTGGCACCCTAACTCTTGTCCAGGACAGTATTTTAGTGAAAGAATGGTTGCTCAGTTCTAAACGTTAGCCTTACGAACACACTTTGGGGGTGTAATCCATTCACAAGTAGGCCAGCTCAGTAAGTATACAACCTTACTCAGTCTCCCATGGAAGCAGTGTGGATAGGGTCTCATGTCTTTCCACTTACTAAGTTATGGTGTTCCGGGACGTTGCAGTGCAGCAGGCCTACAGGGATGAGGGGGATGGAGAAGTTGGGGGGTGGAGGTCCACAAACAGTGGGAACCCCAGCAGGAGGTGGGCCATAAACAACGGTGCCAGGGGTGAGAGGTTGCCTATCACTGGGCAAGGGAGGCGGCGGTGCATACAGGGCCATGCCCTGGGGCACGGGAGAACCATCAGGAAACACGGTGTACATAATGTATCCAGGAGGAGGCACAAACTGGGGGTCCTCTGGGTCATCCAGGTCACTCTCTTCCGGACTATCTCCTCCACTGTCTGCATCTTGGAAGAAATAAACAAGAGTGGCTTACCTGCATGGCCTACTAGGTAAACAAATTTAGCAGAAAACAGCAGCACTTAAGCCAGATATCAGAAATGTGAGAATAAAATTTTATATAAAAGGTCAAAAGCAATTTTAAAAAGCAGATTAAAACAGGGATTCAAATTATTTTCAAAGGCAGATACTTGAAGTTTTCTTATGCCCATCTATTGGGGTTTTTTCCATCTTCGTTCGTTCATTCATTGATCCACAATCATTTGGGCGCCTGCTTCATGCGACGTGAAAGACCGACAGCAATGTGCTGTGAGATCCCACAGCTCTCAGTGTTTCCCACCACACATGCTCTTTAAGGTGTTGGTTTACCTATCTCCCCTACAAGCAGGAGCTGTGTTTGTCACTGATGACAGGGAACCTAGCACATAGCAGGAGCTCAATAAATAGGTCCTGAATGAACAAATTCTTAGAAGGTGATATTCCCATTTTAAAGATTTACAGTTTTAGCGTAGCTAAGTAATTGACCTAGGATCACACAGCTACTTAGTGAAAGAGCTAACGGTTTATCCCAGCTCTCACTCTCTCCTACAAGCTTTGGGAGACAGGCCTCTAACACTTCGTTTTAGTCAAGTAAATCAATGCCATGACACAAGGATACAGCTGCCATCTGCCAGCAGCACAGCTAAAGAAACAGCTCTGCCTGCCTGGGTGAGGCAGCATGGAATAAGGCTCTGTAGAAAGACTGGGGTTTGAGAACCTGGACGAGTAGAAATAAGTTTGGGAGAAGAAGGGAGAAAAAGGACATTCCAAACAAAAGGCTTAACACATGGAGGTCTGAGGACCATGGCAGCTGGGTATGACTGACGTGTGGGGGAGTGATGGGTGCTGAGACAAAAGGACAAGAGGTCACTGGCCAAGACCAAATCATAAAGGGCCTTGCAGAGCAAGCTAAGGAGTCTGGATTGTATCCTGTGGATTTCAGGGAACCTATAAAATGTAATTAAATGGCAAGAGAAATGCAACTACCTTATGTGACCTCACTTACCTCTCTTTGAAAACGATTTACGTAACCCACTCCGGATGGGAGAATAAACCCAGTATCCTGAGGCAGGTGGTTTTCTAATAGGAGTTGAGGCTGTGTACTTCAGGCCAACACCGGAGTCCTTGGTGGCCTGTGAACTGTGGCTGGAAACCTAATGGCAGCAGAGCACATTGTTACAAATGAAAAGGCTGATCTGGAGAAATGTCTAAGTCTGGGGCAAAACTGAAAAAAAAAAAAAAAAAAAAAAGTCAACATCTAAAGCAAAGTTGAGAAAACAATTTGTTTTTAATATATCATAATTCTTACTTTTCACACAGAAGTGAGATGTGATTATGTGGTCATGTAAAATGCATGGATGTCAGCCTCTCTATTCCAGCACTAATCTTTCCTGGTGGTTTCTCTTGTCTTGTCCTTGATGTTCCAGCAACTGAGGCAAAGGACACTAGGGATCTTTCAAGGAATCTGGGGATACTAGCCTCCTGCTGCCCTAGGACCTTCTCATGGCTTTAAAGTGCTACTCCCCATCTCCTCCCCAGTCGTAGGTCTATCCTCCACACCCTCACCCACACTGCTTCCACCTCCAGCCCTGGCTGTGCTAATTAAGGGTGTGAGCTTCCTTAAGGTTTCTGGGAGAACCGCAGGTTCTGCTCTTCCGGGTGCTAAGCCTACACAGCCCCAGGATCCTAGCATGTCAGACTGATTCTCCCTGGCTGTTGCTTATCACCTGAATCTGGCAAGATGTCACCCAGTTCCTTTGCTTCGGATGAGGGCTCCTCCAGTCCTCTCCTCACTCCCCACATTCAGGCCTCAAGCCCTGATCTTCTGCCTCCTGCACATTCCTCAGTGCCACCTTTCCTGCTCCTGCTCCACTGCTGTAGCTCTGGCTTCCTCTATCTTTCACCGGAACATGTTCAAACAGCCTCACACAGAGTTCAGCTGCCATGAGTCTAGCATCCATCCTCAGCCCAATTATTCTTCCTATACTATTCTGATCATACTATTATATACAACCTCAGTTTCCCAAAGCCTACATAATTAAAGAACTTTTGAGGCCCGTTTTAAAAAAAGCATAACCCAAATCTACTTCTCCAGCTTCACCTTTCACTGTTTCCATCTAACCCTCCAGCCCCATAGGCTACCTGCCATGGTTAAAACAACTCTCTTGTTCCATAAAAGGTGTTCCTTCCCTCCTAAAAGCCCATCCCTTGAGGGTTGCTAAGTGTTGACTTCACGATTCTGCTGCTTATGAAGCCTTCCTTCCTGAATCCCCACAAAATGAATCCTTAACACCTCTCTGTCACTAGAGCGCAGAGGTCAACTCTGCTGTCACATTTGTGTCACTGTTTTGTAATTACATTCTGTAATTACATGTCTCCTCTGCCGGCCCATGAGCTCTTTGAAAGCAGGGGCTATGTCATTCATCATGGTACCCCCGTTGCCTAGCATGAAATTTCAGTAAGCACTGAACGGATGTTGTTCAAAATAAAAGGAAACCCACGTGCCTATTTTTCTGTCTGAGTGTCAGCACAATTCTATACACACTTTCAACAGGCTTTCTGGGCTCAAGTCATCATATCCCCTCATGGGATCCTCATTTAGGGATCCCAAAATGTACCACCTAAGCATGCCACATTCCTTGGGAAGGCCCTATTTTCATCTCAAATATTAACACCACTTAAGAGCCTCAATGCACGGTTTAGCCTAGATATGTGTTCTCAACACCTGTTCACATTTGGGGAAGAATACATGGTCACACTTTCTTTAAGAAAATTCAGTATACACTCCCAGCACCACAGACTTCCTACTTTTGATGATGGCGGTGGAGGCATAAAGTACCAACAGCCCCGTCTTTTGAAAGGATCTGCCATGCTGCTGATGTAATCATTCTGATAAGAAACCTCACGTCGAAGTTCAGCAATTTCTTCCAGAACATTTTCAAAGCTTCCTTTGTTATCTGTAAAGGAAAGCTATAAAGTTGGCTATGAAATCATCTACTTCCTTTCTCGCTCAAATACAAAAGTGATCCCAGAATAGTCAATGACTAATCGATTCCTCAAAGCAGACTTTCAACCTGCTCTTTGGTAATGAGATTTTGCTAACACTTAAAGAAGTCTTCACTTATAAAGTAAGCCTGAAGAAGAAAATAAACAGATTTTTAAATATTATTTCTTTTGAAAATATAAAAATCGATCTCTTCTCTTTGTAATCATATCCCTTAATACTGTACTTATATAAAATTTTTTAAATTAATAGCTTTTATTAATTAAGCTAATTGTCACAGCCATGTAAATCAAACATGGAACTGATCTGTCAGCTAAATAAATTTAGTAAACATCAAAACCAAAATGTTTTGACTTTAGAGCAGCTACAAGACCACTACCAACATCAAACCCATTATTTTACCGGGACCGGCGAGGTCCAGTAACTTCCGCAGCCTCGCGGTCTCTGTCCGTTGTCTCTCCAGGGTCTCGTTCAGCTTCTCGACTTCGAGCACCCGTGAGTCTGCTCCTCTAGTGCCTGTCTCTGCTTTCTCCAGCTCAACGAGAAACTGTTGAGAAATCACATACACAAAGTTCCCAATGAATGTTCTTTCCCAGATGCTCTTATCCTTGCCACTTCACTTTAATTCTGTAATTTTTACTTACATTTTACTAATGAGGAAATTGAATTACTCCTTATAGTAAACTGCACTGTCTGTGGCACACAGTAGAAAATAAAGCACGGACCGACTCGTGATTGCACTTGAAAATTCTTTGAGATGTCACCTACAGTCATCAGTCTTTTAGAAATGACAAGGACCCACTCAGGAGGAGGTCTCAGAGGACTGGTACTGACCTGTTCCTCTTTATCCTGGAGAAGATCTTGCAGGAGTTCAATCTCTGCTTCCGCTCGGGTCAGATCCCTGGCCGCCTGGGCTGCCTTTCTGCTGAACCTTTCTGTTTCCTGCAACTCCTAAAGGGGCAGAGGGATGAGAGAAGCACCGCTGCTATCACGCATTGCCTTCTTCATTTTTTCTTCCTCCCAGATTCATTCCTGTTTTCATCAGATTGCCTGCCTGGCTATCCCATGGACATGTGACACCAAGTCCCACATTGTCCTGTGCTGCTCCCATCACCTGGCAGCCTGCTTCACCCCTCAGTGGAACTAAGTGAGCAGGGTGCTGCATCAGAAAAAGTGAGGGGTGAATTAGAAAAAGCGTGCTGCATCAGAAAAAGCCAGGTTTGTAGAACCTTCTTCAATGTTCTACAGTCTTCTGTGACTGGTGTCTCTTTGGACTCTCACCATTAGATTCTCTCCTATGATCTGCTGTCTTAATCTCATCGCATCTGCATCCTATAAAGACTGTATCAAACATTATCTCAGTCAGGAGTCATAACAGCCCTTTGAGGTAACATATTAGTCACTGGACTGTACAAGATGGAGAGTCTGAGGTCCAGAAGGATTACCTGGAAAGCCTTTAAGGCCTTTGCGTACTGATAGCTACTCCCTAAGCGGATCCCTACACTTTAAGGTAGGGATGGTATGTTTCTTCCAGTGGTTCCTTTCAGGACTCGATAAAGTGCAGGACCCATGGCAGGGCTGGGATGGGAGAAATACAACCTTCGGGTCTGAACGGAAACAGACAACTTTATAGTGGTTTATAAAATAGCCAAAGTCTCTAAGAAGATCAACATTACAAGTTGTTATTTTTTGACAACTGCAGCACTGGTGGAAACATGTTCTGTGTGTGTGGACTTACCGCTGCTCGTTCCTGGTTAATTTTCATAACAGTTCCATGAAGGGACTTCAGCTGGTCTTTAGCAATGGTGAGCTCAGCTGTGGCTAGCTTATCAGAGGCAGCCACAGCTTTCTTTAGTTTCTTTAATTCTTTATCTAAACCAAGGAACTGCTCCTGAGATTTGGCATCTTCGTGTTTCTTCTAAAGTAAAAGAAACACTAACTAAACATATAAATCATTTGGTAGCCATAAATTGATACATAAACTCCCCCAGGGACAGGGACTCTGTTCACGACTACATGCCCCATACCTAGAACAATACCTGGTACACAGCAAATGCTCCATAAATATTTGCTAGGTGAATGAATAAATAAAATTATCTCAAAACTGCATGATAAACTTAGAATGAAATCAATTTTCTTAGTCAAGAATCTTAGTGATCATAAATTCATTCATTCACTCATTGGAAAAACATTTCTTGGCACCATCACCAAGTGATGGACCAGCCGCTTGGAGTCAGAGTCAGGCAGCAGGCATATGGTGGCAAACAAAACAGACTTGGCTGCTGCCCTCAAGTAGCTTAGGAGAGACAGATATTAAACAAATACATAAACAAATGTGGAACTAAAATTGTGTTTAGTGCTATCGAGGGGCAGAACAAGACACTGTTTGAGAGAACAGCAGGGGAGAACAGTGAAAGGATGTGGCCCACGAGAGGAAACAGCACGTGCGAAGGCCAGGAGGGAAGACAGAACCTGGCATTTTTGATGAACTGAACGAAGAAGCAGTAGCGAGAAAAGGAAAGAACTAAACAAAGGCCATCATGCAGGGCCTCATAAGCTTAAGAATTTTGGTCTTTATACTAAAAACAACAGAAGCTACTAGAGATGGGGGGGAGATACGATGGAAGTGACAAGAGCCAATTCACATTTCTGAAAGAACTTGTGGCTACTCTGCAGAGCACAGTCATGAGTGGAAGTGGGAGACCTGTCAGGTAGTAGTCACAGCAGTTGTCCAGAAGAGAGATGATGGCTGGATGAGGGTGGTGCCACTGGAAAACAAAGTACATATATTCCAGGTAAATTTTGGAGGCAGGCCCAGTAAGACTCGGAGACTGATGGCTTTCTCAGTGAAGTATGACGCAAGTCATTCACCGAGGCTGGGAGAAGGGTGAGGGTAGGTGTGGAAGTGAGATGTGAAACAACCGAGCACGGGAAATGAGCTTACTAGAGAAAAGAGTGAAGTTCCCATTCGGGGCCGGTGACCAAGAGTTTATAGTGACACTACTATGCTTGAAAGGGTGATTTTTTTTTTCTCTAGGAATACTTAACATGCCTGCAAGTCCAAAGGCGGCTAATAATAGCTCAGTTCTGTCAGTGTAGTAAGACAGTAGATTTGCAAAAATGCCTACAGTGGTAAACTATGAAATTTAAGTTGAACAAGGGGGAAAATAAAGACAGGAAGGTTTAGTAAACAGAAAAGATGGGGCTAATACACTGAAATTCTCCATAAGGTTGAAGAACTGTCAGCACAGGGGGTGCTGGTGAGATAAGAGGTAACAATCAGAGTGTGATGCTTCAGTTTGTGATTTTAAAGGTGGTGGACACAATTTGGACAAGGTCTGAGATCTGACAAGGGGAGCAGGGAATGGTTAGGTGGGACTGAGAAGTTCGAAGACAGGCCAGGGTGTCAGAAAGAAAGATGACTAGTCCTTGGCCGTAAAAAAAAAAAAAAAGAAAATTTTACCTTTTGAGACAGCATGGAGGGACCTGGAGAACATTATGCTAAGTGAAATAAGCCAGTCAAGAAAGACAAATACTATATGATTTTACTCATATGTGGAATCTGATGAACTGAACTAACAAGCAAAATAGAGACAGACTCATAGCAGGATGACAGCTGTGGTAGGGGAGTGGGGTTGAGGGGTAGAGGGACTAAGCAAAAAGGAGAAAGGACTCATGGACATGGACAACAGTATGATGACTGCAGAGGGAAGAGAAGTATAAGAGGGATAGACGGTAATGGAAAAAATACAAGAAAAAAGAAAGCTGAAGAGTTTAGAAGTAATTCCCCATAAATGTGTCCAACTGGCAAGGGGTTTTGAAGGAGGCAAACTCATTTCACCAGTAGTATTTAAGTACCACCTAACCAGCTCTGAAGTCACTCTCTGCATTCCCAATTCTCTTGTTTGCATCTATCATGGTACCCTTGCCTCAGGCCCTTGATTCAATGACATGCATCCAAGTTTCTCTTAGGTCAGGTTCACCTCTGGGCCAGCAATACAGGCAGAGGTGACTGTGGATCACATCCCTTCTCAGCTGGCCTGATCGATGGGGGCATGAGCAGGCAGCAGGGACTCACGTGTCTCACTTTCCTAGCCTTCCCCACCTTTTTCTCTAACTCTTGGAGTTGGGCCAGAATTCTCTCCTTCTCTTCATCAGCTTCCTGAAGTTGGAGATCTGTAAGGCCTTGGATTTCCTCCATACTTTTTAGATTTTCTTGTAAATAATGAATCTCATTCTCCAACTGCTGGATCCTTGCTTCATGTTGCCTCTTATCCAAATTAATCTGTGAGGAAATGAGAGTTTCAAAGATGATTTTTAAGCAAAATATGTTTTGAGCAAAATAAAAAAATTTTAGAGAGTCACATTTTGTTTTACTAAAGAGCGTAATGAAATTTTGAACTCAGAGTTACTGGGGGTAGTTTTTTCTTAAATATTCTCTAGGATCCATTTTAATATTTGTCTCATTAAAATAATTACATCAAGAGGAATCCAATTCTGGCTCTGGCTGGTGCGGCTCAGTGGACTGAGCACCAGCCTACAAACCAAAGGTTGCCGGTTTAATTTCCAGTCATGCCTCGGTTGTGGGCCAGGTCTCTAGTAGGGGATACTCGAGAGACAACCACACATTGATGTTTCTCTCACTTTCTCCCTCCCTTCCTATCTCTCTAAAAAATAAGCAATTAAATCTTAAAAAAAGAGAGAAATCTGATTCTGGTACCATAATATACTGTAGCAATGCAGCATTATTTACTTGCATATTAAGAAACATATCTTCCTTGCTTCCAGGACAAGGAAAATATAGTGTCACAAAGAAGCCTGACTTTAACCTCAGTACCCATATTCAGGATTGAATTTTAGTCACATCCAGCTTGACATGTTATGAGTGAAAATAACAACATTTATATTGTATTTACACAAAAAAGGGAGCACTGTAATTCATGAAAAAATGTGAATATTTGCCAAACACTTCCCTCCAGCTGCCTCTTGCCCTTTTCTTACTCTTGCTTCAAGAGCTCTCTCACAGGCCTGCCTGAACTCTTCTTGTCCATTTGCCAGTTTCTCTTGTTGCAGAGCCATTTCTTCTTGGAGTTTTCTCTCTCTCACTTGTGCTTCCTCTCTTTCCCACTGGGAGCATGTAAGGATTTCGCTGAATTGTTTCTGCAAGTCAGCAAGACTTTTCCCTAAGACATCTGAAGGACTACAGCTCCTGGTAAGGGGGAAAAGAGATGGTACAACCGTGACATTATATTTTAATGCTAGATGCCAGGCACAAACATGCTGGTAACATCAGTGCAGGAGTAAAAAGAGTGTACGGAATGAGACCGGTGTCGATCCACACCACATTACCAAGCATCTCCTAAATGCAAACCACTGTTTCATCAAATGGCTTAGTCACTCTGAAAACACAGGCTAACAACATCTGCTCAAAGAATAAATATCCATTTCATATAGTTAGGTTATCTTTTGATATTTGCTTTCTATTTAAAGTGCATAATGTATCTCTACTTCCTAACCATCTGCAATGAACTTTCCAGAGTTATTCTTAAAACCTTTGTCTTATAAATTAAATACCAAAAAGCATAAAAGATTTGAAGGGTAAAAAAAAAGCAGTGACAGACACCTGATTCAAGCAATCTTGTGTCTTAACCATGGAAATATGATACAGAGAAACCTCACAAAGAAATCAGCCTCACAAAGAAATGATTTTACAGAACTTGGAAAGGTGAGATTCAACTCTGACCTTCACAGCTGGGCTCACCGTATACTTGGAGGTCTCTATTTCCCATTACCTCATCTCCCCTGCTCCTGATTTCAGATTTCTCCGTAGCTCATCCACACGAGCTGCCACTTCTTCTGGACGAATCAAACCATCAACCACACGGTTAAGGTGATTCTGGAAATCTTTAAGTTGCTGTTTTAACAGGTTATTGTCATCCTATGAAGGGGAGTAAAATGAGGTCAAAGTTAGCATAACAAATTAAAAACAGACCTACATATACAGCCTGTTTTACCTGTCATATGATAAATTTATTCAACACCTTTACTAATTTTTCAAACCCTTTCCACTCGGACTGACAATACCTGAATCTACTAATCAATCTACATTCACAAAAGACACAACCAGGCATTAGATGCCTCCTGATACGATGCAGAAAGAAGTTCCTGTGAGTGTCATTTTGCCAAACACTAACAACTTGAATCTAAATAAGCTTCCATATGTACCATAATCAATACCATGGGGATGCAGACAGCAAAATCTAGAATATGGAATACTCTACAGTACAAAGACCTAGCTTTCTTTAAACACGTAACAATTTTTAAAAGAGAGGAAATCTATAAGACTATAAGACTTAAAAATCAAGTCAACCAAATGTAATGTGTGCACCTCATTTGGATCCCGATTCCAACAGAACACTTAAAAAATTTTATGCAATAATTTGAATATTGATAAGGTAGTAGATGATATTAGGGAATTATTATAATTTTAGGTATAACAATGATATCCATGTTTATGCTTTTTTAAAGCCCCGACTTTTTGGAGATATACATATAGTAATATAGTATTTACAGGTAAAATGTTTTCGATTTACCTCAAAGTAATTCAGTGTGTGAACAGGTGTGAGGGGCAGAGTGTGGAGGGCACTATAAATGAAGTAAGATTGGCGGTATATACATGAGGATGGGTGGTATATACATGAGGATTCATTTTGTTAATAGTATTTATTCTATTTTTGTATATGCTTGAGAGATACAAATCTCAAGCATATACATATGTCCATAATTCAAAGTTTAAAAAAAAACCAAAAACACTTTCCCATAATACTGAGATCCATCTGTCAATCAACTGAAAAAACAGAACATCTAATACTGAAGCTTCTCTAATAGCTTATTATTCTTCGAGGGAGGCTTATTATATGCCAGCATATTTTCTCTACCAACAAATTCACAGATAGATCTACAACTCAGAATTAAATTTAGACAATGGCCCTTTCAAGTAAAAGGAAATTGCTAATATTTCCTTAAATTATAAAGAAAAATAATTCTATATTCTAAGTTACTAACTATATTCCCCTGAATACCTACCTAATTAATTTACTTCAAACTCTAACAGTATGAACTAAAATGGAGAATTTAGAATTGCAATGAAGGTGTTAAGCGCCTATCCTACCTAGAGTTGTCTTATCTGCAAACTGTCCTTGTCCAGTGCCCCGAGGTGGCCATACCTGTACTACTGCCTAATCCTGGCCACAGGTAATCTGATCCAATGCCAGCCCATCCACTGAAAACAAGTTCTTACTCTCTCCAAAACTGAACCAAGATCCAGTATAGCAATTCTGTACAAGAGCTGGACCTATGAGGATATGTCAGCTCAGGGCTGAGGTCCATGGTGGACTGAATACAATGCCCAGAGAGACACAGGAGACCTAAGAGGGCTGTGACACTCCTGAAAGATTGATAGCGCAGCTCTGGTTCCTGGCAAGTTGTCTGCTTTCTTGGGGTGGTGTTAGTAGGTTTCAATTCACTGAAACTAAATGATTTCAGACAAACAAATGAGGAGTTTAACTTGTACATTGTAGTAGGTTAGCAGGGTAAATAACCAGAGGACCAAGTTCCAAGATAGTTTCACAGCATGGGCCAGCATTCCAGAAAGCTGACTTTAGTTTCTACTTCAGAGAAGGCCCCTAAAGAATATATTTTAGTCCTTTTCTTTAAGACATGCATACTGAAGTATTTATGAGTGCAATAAAGATGTATGAAATTTTCCTTAACATATTCCAGCAAAAAAATAAAATGTGGACTAACTGAAACAGAATGGCAGAATGCTGAGAATTGTTAAAGCTGAGTCAACAAAAGGTCACCTCTCCATTTTTGTGATTTGAAATTTTCCATGGTAAAAATAAAAATAATAATCCAATGAACACCCAACAAACACACAACTCACACAAAAAATGGAAAACATACTTCTTTTTCAATATTTGCTTCAGAAGATGAACTGATAGCAGTAAATATTAAATTATAGGTTCTTAGATTTCTTCTAACCTTGAGGAAAAAAGTATGTAATGCACTGGAGGAAAAGAAAGAATTTGGGTGACCTTAGTCTTATTTGACACAAACTTCCCTGCATGACTTTTTGGAAGCTCTTCCCGAACCAGAGACTCTGGTCCTTTACTTCTGGTGAAGTGTAAGAGGACACTTCAGTCAGCCAAGGGGGCTCCAGCCTCACAGATTCGGAAACCGAGTAGTGATCCAGCCGCTAGTTTCTTCAGACACCTGTCCTCTTTGAGAGAGCTTAATTATCTAGAAAACCCTGTTCCCCTGCTTCTCTGGCAGTTTGTTGGTCACATTATGACAGCTGCTATAAAAATATCTGGCCAAAGAAAACCGCCCCCGATTTAAAATGACTGCATTTTTAATAGCATCCTTTCTGGGGGATTATAAAAACTGTTTATAGTTAGGAAGTTCTACTGCAACCCACTCTAGTTAAAATTCCTGGGTAGATGTTTCAGTGGAACAGGAAGGAGCCAATCTGGTAACTTTGGCTCAGTCGACAAGCATTCCTCTAGGAGAAATGCAAGGCACTGCTTTTGCCATGAGTTTACACAGCAGTCTCCAGTTTACTGCTGACACTGCCTCCAGCTCTTTGCACCGCAATAGCAACATTCAAGATATACAGGTTAATCATTTTAAAACAATGGGCTCACAAGGGAACAGAGGCTCTGGTACTGTCACACTCAAAGTTTCTTTTTTCTAATAACTGAAGTTGCTTATTACATGTTAGAGCAGGTGGTCAAGCTGCCAACTAGATGTCAACATCTTTGAGCGTCCCATATAAGAATATTATGAACCAACAAGTCTCTACCTGCAGCTGTTTAAGTTGCATGCGAAGCTCCCTGTTTTCTTGGTTCTTTTCTTCTGAGAACTGGGCTTTTCCGAGGGCACTCTTGAGGGCTTGCTTTTCCTTCTCGAGTTCTGCTTGAAGGGCTAATTGTTCTAACTATTGCCATAGGAAGCAATAATATGAAACAAGAAATACAAAACAGCAGTAATTTATGATATCAAAAGGCAAAGAGAAATGTACATACACATGCTGTCTGTCCCCTGCTAGCTATGGTTTTATGACAACTCAATTTTATGTTTGTATTCCCAAATTTAAAGGTCCAAAGTAATTTTTTCACCTTCCTCCTTAAACTGTTAATACTTAAAGAAGAGTAAGTATCAAAGTCAGCTCAGTATGGATACACCAAGCCAGAATCTTTGGGGGTGGGTCCCAGTACTTCCCTTCAAAAGCTTTATGACTAATCCAGCAATTACTGCTCTCCAATATTTCATAAACTGTGGCCCTCAAACATTTCTCAATATTTCTCACACTGTGGTCCTACAATACCTGCATCAAAATCACTTGGTGTGCCTGTTAAAAATGCATAAGCCTAGACTCATCTAAGACTTGATAGACCAGAATATCTAGGGTGGGGCCCAGGAATCTGCATTACCAAGCTTCACAAGTGATTTCATATAACTAAAGTGTACCAATCTGATACCCATAGATATCAAAGAGAGACCTGTTATGCTACATAGTGTCAACGTGCAGTTTGAAGACCAATCCTGGCACTCCTATTGCCAAGGAAGGGGGTGTGACCCCTTCCATACCAAGTGAATTTGTGAAAAGGCCAGGCTCTTTTATATATAAAAATATAAACTTTATATATATATATATATATATACACACATTAATATATACATAAATATATATATATTTAATATACCTTAAATATATACATTAAGTATAAATATTATATATGTGAAATATATATATGTTTTAATCCTTACCCACGGGTATGTTTTATTAATTTTTGAGAGGGGAGGAGAGAGAGAAAAACATCAATCTCTCATATGCTCCCTCACTAGGGATTGGACCCACAACCTAGGTATGTGGCCTGACTGAGGATCAAACCTGCAACTTTGGCTATTGGGACAACACTTTAACCAACTGTATTTTTTTTCTTGTTTTCTATAATATTCTTTTTCTTTTTTTTAAAATAAATTTATTTATTTAATTGCTGTTCAAGTAGTTTTCTGTCTTTTACTGCCATCCCAGCCCACCCCCAGTACTCCCCCCACCTCCCTCCCATTGCCACCCCCCTTAATTTTTATCCATGTGTCCTTTATACTTATTCTTCCTATAAACCCTTCCCCTTCTCCCCTGAAATTCCTTCCCCTTTCCTCTCTGGTCACTGTCTGCCTGTTCTCTATTTCAGTGCCTTTGGTTATATTTTGCTTGCTTGTTTGTTTTGTTGTTTAGGTTCCTAACTGTATTTTTAATCTAATAAAGAATATACTAGCCCTGGCTGGTATAGCTCAGTGGATTGAGCATGGCCTGTGAACCAAAAGATCGCAGTTCGATTCCCAGTCAGGGCACATGCCTGGGTGCAGGCCAGTTCCCAGCAGGGGATGCACGAGAGACAACCATATATTGATATTTCTCTCCTTCTCTTCTTCCCTTCCCCTCTAAAGATAAATAAAGTCTTTTAAAAATTAGAAATAAATAAATACACTATGCTCTTTCCCCTCATCTCTATGCCTATAACACCCACCCTTTTTGCCCCTTACATCCTCCCCCCAGCTCCCTATGCATGGCCAAGTCCTACTCATCCCTCAAGTTCTGGCTGAAATATCAGTTCTGTAGGGCACTCTTCCCTAACCACCTGCCTTCAGCCACAAAACACTATCCCGTTCTTTCTCCTACACCTGTTTCACCTATTGCACTGGCAGCTTCACAAGGACGGTGGCCACGTCTATGTTGTTTTCTGCAACATTCACACCTGGCCCTCAATGGCTAATCAGTAAGTGTTTACTGGATGAATAACTATTTCTTTAACTTACAAATATAATTTAAATGAGTGGATATTTCTTCCAACCAGAATCCAAGGGAGTAAAATAAAATTTAATATCAATTTAAAGGAGGTCTCTTAAAGCTGTTTTGAGAAAGACTAGAATTTATTGAATACCAACTGCTACAGGCCTTCACGCCCATTATCTTCTTTATCCTCATCATTTTAAAAATGAGGAGGCATCTGTCAGAGACTCAGAGCTGTGAAGTGATTTATACTTATTCACATAGGAGTAGTATCTGAAATTGGAATATCTGACTCCAAAAACATGCCCTTCCCATCACTCTGCAAATACTATATTAAAAAGTGTTTAATCTTACATTGCATTAAAGATATGGTAAGGCCACAGGTTACTAGGTTTCTAGATGGCTTTATGCTCTTACTTACCTGGTTGAGCCTTGTTAGTTTTTCCAAGTCTTCCTTGAGCTGGTTGGCTTCAGCCTCCCGTATTTTTAGCTGAGCCTCTAGCTCAACCTCATAGGCACTGAGTTCTCCCTGGGTCTGCTGCAGGGATGCATTCACCTCGTGCTGCTCCTGGAGGGCGCTTTCTAGCTCTGCAAGCTCCTGGAAGGATTCAGGGCATGTTTAACTACAAAACCCTCACTGTTCTGCTGAAGCATCTGCAAATCATTGTAAGTAACCTGAGCACAATAAACCGAGTGCTGGCCAGCCTGGCACAGAAAGCGTTCATTAGCAAAATCATGAAGCCACAGGCTATGCACATCCAGGTTGGAAAGCAAACCCTGACTAAATGGAATCAGAAAATCTGTGAGCTCCCAAAATGTTTTCCAAAGTGTGACACTTTACATGTGCCTGAACAGGGAAGAAAAAATATTATATAGGAGAATAAAATTTAAAACCTCTTTTTCTATCAGACATTGCAATAAATGTTTTCATATTCATCACTTCACTGCATCTTCATAATAACTGTGTAAGAGAAGATATTATTCCCATTTCACAGATGAGAAGAAGGAACACTGAAGTAAATGTCCTGGGGTTAAAAAAGGAAACAGTGAGAATATGAACTGAGATCTCAGCCTCTAAAAGCCCACACTCTTTCTATTAAACCACAGCAGGTTCATGTATCTAAAGAACAAAATGGGATGGGTGCTCTCTAATATTAAGGATGACAGAATAACTTAAATGAGTGTGAACAAAAATGTAACAACAACTGATTAGCATACTTTGGTTCTGAGCCACTTTAGCCCATGTGTTTTTTTATAACTAAATATTATGGCTTGCATCTATTCATTTGGGATCGTAAAGAAGTAGATCAAACTATTCTGGATTAAAGAGGGGGTTCTACAAGGAAAACTTCTACAGAAGAGTTTCTCAAGGGGTGGCCCAAAAAGCACCAGGCAATTTGAATCATTTGGGTTTCTTGCTTAAAATGCAGACTCCATTCATAATCAACAGAGGATTAGTATCTAAAACATATAAAAATTCCTATTAGTCCTTAATAAAAAGACAAACAATCCAACAAAAAATGGGCAAAGAATATGAATAGGGAATTCACTGAAGAGGAACACTGAATGGCAAATAAACAAATGAACTCAAATGTGTTCAACCTCTCCAGTAATCAGGGGGAAATGAAGTTAAAAGAAGATACTATTTCAGCTTTTTAGGATTTTTCCTCTACCCCCCTTCAAGGATCTCTAGTTGGTGACCACTGAACAAAAGTGTGTTAGTGATGGGATGCAAGATGGCGACAGAGTAGGATGGCACAGATTCCAGTTCCTTGTACACATGGGAGAGAATCCTGGCCGATCGGCGGAGGAGCAGCGCAGGCAGCTGGCAGTTCCTCAGCATATATGAAAATAAGGAACCAGAAATCGTGACAGTGATGGAGGATCTAGATGGAGTATGTGGAAGCGGAGAACGCCAGGATAACTGAAAGAGACTGCACCACTGAATTTCACAGGCATTCCACTACAGAAGTTCACACCATAAACCCAGGGAGTCAGAAAAGATCAATTTAAGAAGCTGAGGCAAAAAGGAGAGTGTCACAAACAATGGGAAGACAAAGAAACAATTCCCAAATGAAAGGAAAGGAGGAAGCCTCAGAAAGAATATTAGATGAAATAGAGGCAGGTCAACTATAAGATATTGGATTCAAAGCACTGGTTATCAGGAAGTTCAAAGAGCTCACAATGACCTACCAGGTACTACAGGGGAGCTACAACAATCTCACCACAAACTATATCAACATGAAAAAGGAAATAGAAACTATCAGCAAGGGACAACAGGAAATGAAGAATACAATTTCTGAATTGAAGAACACAGTAGAAGGAATCAAAAGCAGAATCGATATATCAGAAGATCAGATCAGTGAGTTGGAGGACAAGGTGGAAAAAAACTCCCAGAAAGGGCAAGAAAATGAAAAGAGACTAAGAAAGAATGAAGAGGGATTAAGAGAAATGCAAGACACTTTGAAACATAATAATATCGGAATTATATGGATACCAGAAGGAGAAGAAGAACAAGAGATAGAAAACCTATTTGAAACAATAATGAGGGAAAATTTCCCTACTTTGATGAGAGAAAAAGTCAAACAAATCCAGGAATCACAGAGTCCCAATCAAGAGGAACCCAAAGAGGCCCACTTCAAGACACATCATCATCCAAATAGCAAAATTCCAAGACAAAGAGAGAATCTTAAAGGCAGCAAGGGAGAAAAAGGAAGTAACATACAAGGGAGCCCCAATAAGGTTAGCTACTGAAATGGTTAGCTACTAACTAATGGAAACACTCCAAGCCAGAAGAGAATGGCAAGAAATATTCCAAGTAATGAGAACCAAAGGCCTGCAACCAAGGCTACTTTACCCAGCAAGGCTCTCAATCAAGATAAAAGGCCAAATAGAGCTTCCAAGACAAAAGAAGTGTACAAGAATATGCCTCCACCAAACCAGCTCTGCAAGAGATGCTAAAAGGACTGCTTTAAGGAAGGTAAAGAGAGACTGACAGGAACACAGGTACAAAAATGGCAATGAATAAGTACCTATCAATAATAACATTAAATGTAAATATATTAAATGCTCCAATCAAAAGACACAGAATAGCTGAATGGATAAGAAAGCATGACCCACACATATGCTGCCTACAAGAGACCCACTTCAGGACAAAAGACTATCAGAGACTAAAAGTGAAGGGCTGGAAACAAATCTTCCAAGCAAATGGACAAGAAAAAAAAAAGCTGGGGAAGCAATGCTCATATCAGACAAAATACTCTTCAAAAAAAGGGCCATAAAGAGAGACCCAGAAGGTCACTTCATAATACTCAAGGGAAGAATCCAGCAAGAAGACAGTAACATCGTAAATATGTATGCACCCAACATAGGAGCACCCAAATATATAAAGATAATCTTACAGGATTTCAAGAAAGATATTGACAGCAACACAATTATAGCAGGGGCTTTCAATCCCCCCTATCAAAAATGGACAGATCTTCCAAACAAAATATCAATAAAGATATTGTGGCATTAAACAACACCCTAGATGAAATGGACTTAACTGACATATATTGAGCCCTTCATCCCAAACAAGCTAAATACATATTCTTTTCAAATGCACATGAAACATTTTCAAAGACAGACCACATGATAGGACACAAAACGAGCCTCAACAAATTCAACAAATTCAAGAAAATTGAAATCATACCAAGCATCTTCTCTGACCACAAGGGACTAAAACTGGAAACCAACCCCAAAGGAAAAAAACCCAAACACTCAAAATCATGGAGATTGAATGGCATGCTATTAAACAAGGAATGGGTCAAGAATGAAATCAGGGAAGAAATCAAAAAGTTTCTGGAAACAAATGGAAATGATCTCAAAACAACCCAAAACTTATGGGACACAGCCAAGGCAGTCCTGAGAGGGAAGTTCATAGCAATACAGGCCTACCTAAAGAAAACAAAAACATTTCAAACAAACAACCTAACCCTATGCCTGCAAGAACTCAAGGAACAACAACAAAGACAGTCCAGAGCAAGTAGAAGGAAGAAAATAACCAAGATCAGAGCAGAATTAAATAACATAGAGACTAAAAGCATAATTCTTAGGATCAATGAATCTAGGAGCTGGTTTTTAAAAAAAAATTTTTTATTTATTTTTAGAGAGAGGGGATGGGAAGGAGAAATAGAGAGAGAGAAACATCAATGTGTGGTTGCCTCTCATGTGGCCCCCACTGGGGACTTGGCCTGCAACCCAGGCATGTGCCCTGACTGGGAATTGAACCTGCGACCCTTTGGTTTGCAGCTCGCACTCAATCCACTGAGCTACACCAGCCAGGGCCAGGAGCCGGTTTTTTGAAAAGATAAATAAAACTGACAAGCCTTGAAGTAGGCTAATCAAGAAAAGAAGAGAGAGGACACAAATAAACACAATAAGAAATGAAAGAGGAGAGATTACAACTGATACCACAGAAATAGAAGGGACTGTAAGAAATTAATATGAAGAACTGTATGCCAAGAAATTTGAAAACGTAGGTGAAATGGACAAATTTCTAGAAAAATATAATCTTCTAAAACTCACTGAAGAAGCAGAAAACCTGAACAGACCAATAGCAGCAGATGAAATTGAAGCAGTAATCAAAAAACTCCCATCACACAAAAGCCCCGGACCAGATGATTTCACAGGAGAATTCTACAAAGCATTTAAGGAAGAGCTAACCCCTATTCTTCACAGACTATTCCAAAAAAATCCCAAAGGATGGAAAACTCCCAAACTCTTTTTATGAAGCCAGCATCATCCTAATCCCCAAACCAGATAAAGACACAACAAAGAATGAAAACTTCAGGCCAGTATCACTGATGAACATAGACACTAAAATCCTCAACAAAATATTGGCAAATCGCATCCAACAATACATTAAAAAGATCATACACCATGACCAAGTGGGATTCATCCCAGGGATGCAAGAATGGTTCAATATTCACAAATCAGTAAATGTAATACATCACATAAACAAAAGCAAAGACAAAAATCACATGATCATATCAATAGATGGGGGAAAAGCTTTTGATAAGGTACAACACCCATTTATGATAAAAAACACTCAGCAAAGTGGGAATAGAGGAAGCATTCCTCAGTATAATAAAGGCCATATATGAGAGACCTACAGCCAACATCATACTCAATGAGAAAAAACTAAAATCTTTTCCACTAAGATCAGGAACAAGACAAGGTTGCCCACTTTCACCACTTCTATTCAATACAGTATTGGAAGTATTAGCCACAGCGATCAGGCAGGAAAAGGAAATAAAAGGCATCCAAATTGGAAAGGAGGAAACAAAACTGTCATTGTTTGCAGATGACATGATAGTGTACATGGACAATCATACAGACTCTACTCAAAAAGTGCTCAAACTAATAAATGAATTTGGCAAAACAGCAGGTTACAAAGTCAATATCCAGAAATCAAAGGCATTTTTGTATACTAACAATGAATCAGCAGAAGCAGAAATCAAGAAAAAAAATCCCATTCGATATAGCAAAAAGAAAAATAAAATATCTGGGAATAAACCTAATCAAGGAGGTAAAAGACCTGTATGCAGAAAACTACAC